TTTTTAACCAATAAATTAGGTTTTAGTATGAATTGCAATATAGAATATGAATTGTTATTGGAGATATGGAGGTTAAAATTATACAATATGAATAAAATGATGATTAAATATGAAATCAATTATGGCTACAAACTAGGCTTGTTTGATTTTGAAAAATATCGAATTACATTTATGCGAAACTTCCAAGTAAATATCAAATTCAATCTGTGCATATTTAAAAGCCAAGTTAAATTGGAAATTAAAATGAACTTTAGTTAGACAACTCCTTTTATTTGAAGTTTTTAAGACTAGATGAAGGAAATTTTCGTTATTATTAATTTTTCTCTAGTGTGGCTCAGTTGCTACTTAACTAATAACTGTTTTAGATGTGAGTGCTGAAACATTTATGTATGTTAAATTGATTATTGATTTGAAAATTCAGTAATCTGTTAATAAACATTCTCAATAAAAAATTTATTAGGTTTATTTTCTGATTTATAACTAACTTATTTTATTATTAGGCACGAGAGAAATGACATTTGTATTAAAAATATCGGCTGATAAGTATCTTTAGTATACTATCTAATAATTTTGAGTATTCATAATTAGGAGCATTTCATAGGAAAATTAGTATGCTATTTGCAATGGTGAATACAATATGTGATTTATAATACAGTTGAACCTGTTTATCTCGAAATTTCTAAAATTCTCTACATTTACTGTCTAAAATCAATGTTATTTTCCATGTTTATGTCGAATTTTTTTCTTCAAAACCTCCGTTTCTCGAATTTCTAATAATGGAGCACAAATGCCAAAACTTTCTTTATCAGTAGAACTCCTAGACAGATATGAATTCCGTGAATCCATAGGAAGTAGGGATGACCAGGTAGGAGATGCTTCTTGGAATTTCAATCACTATCCCTGCACTTCCTTAACTAGAAAGGAATACAATGATTCTGGCAGTGAGTGAGGGGTTAATGAGTATTGACCATCAGGGGTTAGCTTTTCAACATAGATAAGAAAGCTATAGAAAACAGTTGGTATGCAAACTTGTAGATGCCATCGATGAAACAAGTTCGACGCTATCAGAATTACTGTTTTGCCTGGAGAAATGTGTCTCCAAAAACTATCCAAAAGGGTTTTAAAAAGCTGGTTTTAAGAATAGCTGTAAAGATGATGAAGAAGAGGATGAACGCATCAGAAAAGAAGAAAATTTTAATGCTGGAAATGCAGTGCCAGATTTGCCAGAATGGAATGCAATAAAATCTGGATTGGATTTAATGTTGACATTAATTTTGATGATTTTTACAAGTGGACAACTGCCTGGCAGCATGCGGAAATCATAAGTAATGTCAAAGAGGAAGAAGCTGAAGATCATATTGATGAATCAAAAGTGAATGCAAAAGTAGAAAGGCTGTAGAATTCTTACAGGGTTCCCACACAATTTCAGAGAAAATATTCCGACTTTTCCTGGTAAATTTCAATGAAAATCCATACCTTATTTTATCTATACTACGAAATTTTTCATTAGAAAGTTCGGATTTTTTTATTTGCTATGCCAAGTATTAGATTTTTTGTGTAAAATATATATCATTATATGAGGAAGGAAGCAATTCAGCATGTCTAAAATGTAAAATTTTTACAATAAATAATTGTAATAGATGTTAGAATTATTTAACTCTAATCTCAATAACTGAGTATTGTTATTGACAATTTTAAGACTGGTTTTTTTCCGGGAATAATGAAGGAATTTTCCAGGTTTTTGTAAGAAAATTGCAACTTTCCCTGACAATTCCCTGATTTTTGGAGTTGAAATAAAATTCCCTGACGATTCCAGGTTTTCCCTGTTCTCCCTGACTTGTGGGAACCCTGTTCTTATAAACTACTCTTGAATCCCAGGAAAATGCTGGCTATGAGGAATTTGCGATCTTTCTAACTTCAAAAGAATGATCGAAACAAATAAGGTTATACGTCAAAAATCTTCACAAAAAAATTTTCAGTGTTTAATGTATGTTAAAAAACTGTTATGTAAATAGATGTATGTGGTATAATTAATTTAAAGAAATGTATATATTTTTCTACTAAAAACAATTAAAGCACTTTTAATAGAATATCTTAATTAAAATTAATTTTTTAAAGTACCTGTATAACTCGAAACCTCTTTATCTCGAATTTTTCGCCTTTCCCGTGAGATTCAAGATAAACTGTATAACACTATATTATTTTATTATAACATTTAAAAAGTTTATTAGAATTTCAAAATAAAGCCTACTAATTTTTTGTGAAAAATTGAACGAACTCCTTTTTTAGAAAAATGTCATAACATTTTTATTCCCAATTTTTACTCTTATTACTATCACTTATTTATGCTTTATAAATAATATGATATTAACTTATGCAGGTGAGCAGTAAGGTAGACCACCTCCCAAAAAAAGAATATTATTTTTCATCCCTATATAGGGCTACTGCATTATAAATAATCCATAAGCAGAGCAAGTCGCTGAATTTGAATAGTTTAGTATAATATGCCAAAATTGTATGCAGACATTTTATCTTTCAAAAGAAGCAGCTCTAATTTTCAGGAAAGGAGATATTTAAATTACATCACAGAACATTTAATTATGAAATATTTTCAAAAGTTTATTTCTTACTTTTTAACCATTATGTTATAATACAAAGTCTAACATTAAATGAAGTGCCTTTTCTTTTAACCTTATACAGAATAATACAATATACAGAATAACATATACCACACACAGAATAATAAAATGCAATAATTTGTGCAAGATATTTAAATTTCACTGAACAATTATAAGAAAAGGACTATAGTAAATAAATATCTCACCCGTACACTTACACATATATAAACATCTCATAATATTAAAAAAAATTCACGAACTATCAAGTTATTACAAATGACACATTAAAATTATTTTAATATTTCACTATTTAATATAATAAATTAGCAAAATATAGTATTTAGAATTTTAAAAAAAACTTTAATAATAGTTTATTAATTTCGATTTTTTAATAGTTAGAATGAATAACCTTTTGTTTACTTTTTGAAAAGTTTGATAAATTGTACAATCTAAGACATTCAAATGTTATTAACAAAATTTATATGGAGTAATCAAATAAAAAAAACTGTCGTAACATTCATTACAATAATATTTCGGTAACATAAATGTAGAGATTTATAAAATGATGAAAGCCTAGAAAAAGTTTAGATTTAAGTACAAGAAATTTATATTATGAATCAATTTATATTACTTTATCTATATGTTTCATACTTGCAATTAAACTGAATTTACTTAACAAATTCATTAAATAAAAGATGTTACATGGAATTTTAATTAAAAGCTGCTATTGAAGTATTTTTTTATTATTATTATTAAAAAATATTGCATACAACTCAGGATTCTAATGCTGACAGAATAAAAAACAATTTATGACCAGTAACTAAGGTTACAACTTCGACTAAGATGTGTTTACAAGAATGTATTTTAATTCACAACTTTTCAATACTGGAGCTTATTTTACATATGCATAAAAACAGAAAAATACATAGAAATCTGCAATATAAAATATTTTGAAAATTAAAAAAAATTCAGCTTCATTAAATTGTATAAAGTCTAATGACTCTTCTGTGAAATTTTTTACTTATAACGGAAGCAAGAAGAAAGTTTTTCCTCAGTGAGAAATGGTCTGTGTTCAGTCAGTCACTTTTTACATATGCAGGGTATCTGCTACATTTTAGATTTTCAAATTCATGACATTCCAAGAAATTTCCATGACTTAACGAAGTTACTATTTTCTCTGACAAAAACACATCAATAAATTTAAAAAAGCATTATAGTAATAACATTAATTGAAATGATAGGTATAACTAAAACTGCTATACTCTGCATCTTCATATTTATAGATATTAAAAACAGTAAAGAAAGAGTTGAAGCAATAAAATATCTGAAAATAATACAAATGAAAATAATTTTTTTTTCTGCAGAATTATATTCTAAAGATACTTTTCTTCATTGGAAAGAAATGCTCCTGATTTTTCTATTCTCATTTCAGAATGAAAAAAATTCACAAATGACTGGCTTGCTTCAGTTAGAATTTTAAATTAATAAAACAAAAAAAAAATAATAAAAATTCTGAAACCACAGAAGTTTAAAAGATAATTCGCTCTAGAAACAATATTTTTTCTTTCATTTTTGGAAAGAACATAATTTTATATTTTAATAAAATATGACTCTGAGTAGGGATTTTGTTACAAATTCAGATATTCGGAACATCATGAAATTGGGGGGGATGTAAATTCCCTTTTAAAAATTATGTTTTTTGGCGACCTAAATCCATGATTTATTTGTTTTAATAGTTAAAATCATGACAGATTTTGTTCTATACCGAAATTCATGACTTTCCAGGTGTGCAGATACCCTGCATATGCTGCAAAAATAAATGCATCCATATAAAATCAGAATGTGAGTTGAAAAATTATTTTGAGTGGGACAAGAATTGTCGCACCTGTCAACAAAGCTGTGATTAGCACTTGGTAAGAAAGACTTATTACAAATGCTACAAGAATATGGTTTTGCAACCAGTATGAACACTAATGTAAATACAGTCAAGGGACTGGGACTTCACTATATCCGATCCACGACCAATTTTAATTAATGATTTCAAACTCCCCCTTTTTATTACAAATTATTTAAATAAATGACCAATAAAATGAAATACAAAAATTACTGAATTATTTTTACTTTTATTTTTTATTACTCTTCCTCTTGAGTATGAAAAAAAAATTTTAATCTTTAGCTGATGAGCAATCCTCCACATCAGATATGGAAACATTTGTGACTTCTTTGAATGCTGAACCAATTCAAAAATACAGCAAACAAGAAAAAATGCTTATTGCTATATTCCATGGTATAGATGGTTTTAAAAATTGGTATATGTATTTATTTTAAAGTAGAAATTTCAAAATTATTAATTAAAAAATGAAGAAAATAGATCAGTCGAAGACAGAAAAAAATTCAAAATATAAAACTTCCTCTTTTTTTCGATTCACTATATCGACAAAAAATAACACTATATGTGTGCAGCAAGGCACGGGAGCAAACATATCGTTCACTTTATCCGGGAGTTCCCAATAAACCGCGTTCACTACAGCAGGGTTTGACTGTATTTAGATCACTATTATTTTTTTAAAAAATGCTGTCACTAGAAGGAAAAACACTGTATTTAGTCAGATGACATTTCCGAGAAAAACTCTTATTACATTATGGTACAACAAAAAAGTTTCTCACCAGTGCAAACACAAACATAAAAGTCAGTCTTATGAAGAAAAAAACTCTTACACATACATTATAAGAATGAGGTTTTTAACCAGTATGAATAAAATCATGAAAAGTAGGACGGTCCTGAAGTGAAAAAAGAGACTCTTTTTATGTACACAAGAAAATGGCTTCTAAACAGTGTGAACAAAAATGTGATGAGTAATTGAAAAAGTCTTATTACATGAAAAAGGTTTCTCTCCAGTATGAACACAAATGTGCTTATTTAGAAGAACTATTTGTGAGAAACTCTTATAACATATACTACAAAAATAAGGTTTATTCCTCTATATGAACATGTCTGTGTCTAGCCAGTAAACCTTTTTGTGAGAAACTCTTATCACATGTACTACAAGAATAAGGTTTCTCACCAGTATGAACTCGACTATGTATCGTCAAATAAGCTCCGCTTGAAAATCTCTTATTACATTTGCAACAAGAATAAGGTTTCTCACCTGTATGAACACGACTATGTTGAATCAAATTACCTTTTACTGAAAATCTCTTACTACATATACTACAAGAATAAGGCTTCTCACCTGTATGAACACGATTGTGTTCAGTCAATTTACCTTTAGATGAAAATCTCTTATTACATACACTACAAGAATAAGGTTTCTTCTCACCAGTATGAACAAAAAAGTGTCTAGTCAGTGATTGTTTATGTGAGAAACTCTTATTACATGTACTACAAGAAAAAGGCTTCTCACCAGTATGAACACGATTGTGTCCAGTCAGTTGACTTCTTCGTGAAAAACTCTTATTACATTCAGTACAGGAATAAGGTTTCTCACCGGTATGAACTCGACTATGTATCTTCAAATAAGCTTTATTTGAAAATCTCTTATTACATTTACTACAAGAATAAGGTTTCTCACCAGTATGAACACGCCTATGTTGATACAAAGTACTTTTTAATGAAAATCTCTTACAACATATACTACAAGAATAAGGCTTCTCACCTGTATGAACATAACTATGTACAGTTAAATTACCTTTTGATGAAAATCTTTTATTACATACACTACAAGAATAAGGTTTCTTCTCACCTTTATGTTCATAAAAGTGTGCAGTCAGTGAACTTTTTTGTGAGAAACTCTCATTACATATACTACAAGAATAAGGCTTCTCACCTGTATGAACACGATTGTGTTCAGTCAGTCGACTTTTCCGTGCATAACTCTTATTACATATAGTACAAGAATAAGGTTTCTCACCGGTATGAACTCGGCCATGGATCGTTAAATGAGCTTTACTCGAAAATCTCTTATTACATTTACTACAAGAATAAGGTTTCTCACCAGTATGAACACGCCTATGTTGATACAAAGTACTTTTTAATGAAAATCTCGTATAACATATACTACAAGAATAAGGTTTCTCTCCAGTATGAAGTGTGCTATGTCGCATTAAATAATCTCTTGTAAAAAATTTCTTATTACATATACTACAAGAATAAGGTTTCTCACCACTATGAAGATGACTATGTTGAGTCAAATAACCTCTAACTGAAAATCTCTTATTACATATACTACAAGAATAAGGCTTCTCACCAGTATGAAGATGACTATGTTTAGTCAGATTACATCTTTGTGTAAAACCCTTATTACATACACTACAAGAATAAGGTTTCTTCTCACCAGTATGAACAAAAAAGTGTGCAGTCAGTGATTTTTTTTGTGAGAAACTCTTATTACATGTACTACAAGAATAAGGCTTCTCACCGGTATGAACGCGATTGTGTTTAGTCAGTAAACCTCTCCGTGAAAAACTTTTATTACATATAGTACAAGAATAAGGTTTCTCACCAGTATGAACTCGAATATGTATCTTTAGATCAGTTCTATTTGAAAATCTCTTATTACATATAGTACAAGAATAAGGTTTCTCTCCAGTATGAACATGACTATGTGCAGTCAAATAAGCTCTATTTGAAAATATTTTATTACATGTACTACAAGAATAAGGCTTCTCACCAGTATGAACACGATTGTGTTTAGACAGTTGATCTTTTCGTGAATAACTCTTATTACATATACTACATGAATAAGGTTTTTCACCGGTATGAATTCGACTATGTAGCGTTAAATAATCTCTTCTTGAAAATTTCTTATCACATTTATTACAAGAATAAGGCTTCTCACTAGTATGAAGATGACTATGTTTAGTCAGATTACATCTTTGTGTAAAACCCTTATTACATACACTACAAGAATAAGGTTTCTTCTCACCAGTATGAACAAAGAAGTGTGCAGTCAGTGAATTTTTATGTGAGAAACTTTTATTACATGTACTACAAGAATAAGGCTTCTCACCAGTATGAACACGATTATGTTTAGACAGTGCACTTTTTTGTGAGAAACTCTTATTGCATATGCTACAAGAATAAAGCTTCTCAACTGCATGAACACGACCGTGTTCAGTCAGTAGGCCTATTTGTGAAAAACTTTTATTACATATAGTACAAGAATAAGGTTTCTCAACAGCATGAGCACGACTGTGTCCAGTAAGTGCAATTTTTTGTGAGAAACTCTTATTACATATACTGCAAGAATAAGGCCTCTTACCCATATGAACACAGTTGTATTTAGTCAGATCTCTTTGCGAAAAAACTCTTACACTGCAAGAATAGGATTTCTCACTAGTATGAATTCTGCAGCGTTTAGTACGGCTGTTTCTTTTCGAAAATATCTAGTTACATGTATTACAAGAATAAGGTTATCTTACAGGATGAAAAACACTGTTACAGTATATGTTTACTTTTCTGAGGGTAGATAAATTGAGGGTTTCATAAGGCTAGATAAATTGTGTGCAGTTGAGTAAGATTTTTAGAATAACAATCATAAATATGTTGTAAGAAATGAAGATATAAATCCACTTTGCAATGATATTAAAATAGAAATGCATAGATATTAGAAAAAATATAGATTTTCTATTCAAAATCCAATTATTGCTTTTTCTTTATGTGATACAAATAGTAGCTATATTTAGAAAATATAAAAAATAGTCCTTAATTAAAGTGAAGGCAATAATTAAAAATAATTTTCACTGCAAAAGTAACTCATTAAGGCATACAAATTAATTACATTGACTAAATGCTTTAAATACGCAAAATAAAATACTGTAGAAATATGATCACTTTATAACAGGAATATGATTTATTAATAGGTGCATCAATGAAAGGATTAATTTAATTTATATAGAGGTGCAAAAATTTTTCCCCACAAACTTCACTTTAATAATATTTCTATTTTATCATACATATAAAGATACAAAACTAAATTAAATTATTTCACTTTGTTTTTTTTTTACACATGAACCTCTTTATGTAACAGATTCCTTTAAATTCAATAAACTATGAACGAAGGCATTTTTAGATACACTGCAAAATTTATGCTATTTGTTATTAGTAAAGCTTCTTACAAAATGAATATGAATAAACAGAAATACTATTTACTGTTATGAACATGAAATTATCAAATTAAATTTCATTTACAATTTATTTTACACATACATTGCAAAAATATGGTTCAATATTTGTTTAAGTCAGACAATATTTTTTTTTTACTTTGATTTAAAAAGTTTGACATTACAAATATATATATATTTAAAAATTAAACTGCTAATTTTTGTATCAATGTTTTATAATACACTATAAATGCATGCTCTTATAAATAAACATAAATGTGAGAAGGTCAAGAAAATTTAATTTTCTCTACAAATTTTAAATTGTACAAAATGCATATAAAATATATTTTCTCAGTGCTAACAAGAAACTCACAATCTCAATTACGTGTACATAAATATCAAATCACATGTGCTTTATGAATGTAAGAGACAGTTTCATTACCTGCAATTTCAATCTATTTACAACTGTTTAAAAATGCACTACATGGAAAAGTTCATCTAAAATCTTTGTTAAATAAAACCAAATTAATTCCATTCTTTACAATCGATTTATCCTAAATAAATTATTCCTATATTATGAACACAAAACATTTAAATGAAATTATTTCTTATTGCATGCTTTTTATTTAGAACACTTATTAACTACACTTGGAAAGTTTTAAGCAAAGTGCAAACATTAAATTTCTTTGAAAATATTTTTCTCTTAGAACATCATTTCAACTATATGTCCAACTTTGCCCAGATACTTAGTGTCAAAGAATGTTATTGCCTTCAATAATATCTTCTTCGGTCAGGAAGCATTTAACACACACTGCATGAATAGTTTATTAATTACATGAATCGAACAGAAAACCTTTTTTTTTTTTTTGCCAATATTCAGGCAAGCACAGCATGAATTTTATTTACTATCAGCAGGAAGAAAATGTTATTTTATCATTGAATCGATTTTTGTTTTCAATATAAAGAAGATAATATCATATGAATACGATCCGCATGAAAATAACTCTTTTAAAGCACTTCCTATAGATTTTCCATTACTCTGAGTCCAATTCACTTTCATTAACAAAGGTTTTGGATATAAAGGTTTTGGTCATATAAATTTGAGAATAAAAGTTTTATTACATCTCGAACTCAAGTACATATATTAAGTTGCAAAAGTTTTCTTCAGTTTAAGCAACATAATATTATTTGAAATAGTTTTTAGTAATGAATTCTAATAACACACACAAGGACATTTATTAATTGTGGTAAAAGTTGTCTTAGCAGATTTTTGACAGACAGTTTACTTTCCCTCTCTAGAAATTTGAATGGAAAGCTATAGTTGAAGTTGTAGTTCATTTACGTCGCACGCTTTTGACAGACTGGTTTCACGCACAAAGAGTGGCGTTCGCATCGTCCTAGGGATTATTTTCTGATATCCCCGCCGTACCTTGGCATTGCAGATCACCAAAGTCAAGCATCACTGGTTACGGTCAGTGTGCGGGTGGGTGACCACTTGGATCAGTCTACGTAGGGACCGAGGACGTACGGTATTGGTCCTCGTTAAATTGTGCTACCGTAAAGTGCTCGACTTCGCGCGCAGGTCGTCGGGCTACCAAAGCGGGGGTGCCATCCCCTCCGCAGAGGATCAAAATTGTGATGGCACGTCTTCGGATCATCCTCCGGGATGTTTCCCAGACCGTCGCCAATAGCCCTATGTGCAGCTCTAATGCGACGTAAATTAACAACAACCTAGGCATTGCGCGTAATCAGATCATTAAAAAGCAATTTAATTTAAATTCTAAAACTTTTTCATTTCCGTAAACCAGTATATTATTTTGTATATTGCTTAAAGATGTCTATTCATTACTCATAATTTATTTGTTTGCTTATTGAAGTTTTAAATGCAGAGATCATTCAGATTACGATCAATTATATACTGTAGTTTCGGTTCTCAGAACTTAGGTTAATTCAAACCAAAGGAAGGATATTTGCTTATTCAACCATAGTTATTAGTTTGAAGCGTCTGGTTCTATTATAGCTGAAGTATAGATGCTTATATTAGCATTTTTTTATATTTAAAAATATGATTTAACAGAACGAGTTCAAAACTAAAATCCTTCGAATTTTATAAGTTTACTATTATTGTTTTAAAATCGTTATAATTAAAAATACACACTAATGACACATTTTTTTTTAACAAAATATAAGCCATGCAACCGTAAATTTATTAAATTTTCAGATGAGAATTAAAAATAAAAATCTTTTTCATGAAAATAATTATTCGTAGCATTTATTATGAATTCGATTGTATTATCTATTAATTTCCGATCTTTATTAATGCTTTTGCACAAATAATTATTCAAATTATTATAATCATATCATTCAGATTGTTTGACGCTTAAGAAGTTCCAGCGAAATGCTCAGTAATCGTAATGAGTTTTTTTTATATAATAAATCATTTTTTTAGCGTCTTTGACAGACAGTCAATTGTTTCGGTGGATATAGCGAGATGCTCTACATATTTTTTGTAATTTTAAACTCATTCCAAAAATCAAAGTAACGTGCAATTTAAATATCGGCGTAAAACAGTGTTTATAAAAGTCATAAAAATAATTTATTTTAACCAAAATTAAGTTGAAATTAAAGTAATCAAATTTTGCGTTACACGCAAAGGAAAACCATGAAAATGTCTTTCAGATTGCTTGGCGACAATAGGATTGCAACTAAATGTTCATCTTTATCTCAATGAAATTATTTTCTTATAAGCACCCATTTTTATTATTAATAAGGCCTAGCCGTTGTATCAGAAGTCTCCTTGAAGTCAGGCTAACCGTGGAATGTTTTCGTGGTTTTCCTCTCCATGTAACGCAAATGCGGGTTAGTTCCATCAAGAAGTCCACCACGGAGGCAAATTTCTCTCAATACTTGATCCAGAACTCTCCCTGTCTTCTGGATATGATTTAAAATTGAATTTCCGGAGTTGAATATGAGTAAACGTAAACACATAATTAGGTCGGCTCTTCGACGACGGTTATAAAATTATGAAATAGATAAGATATCAACTTGCTGAATATAAACGAAAAGCTCTTCTTTTTAACTCAACCAGTGAAACAAAATAAGCCACAATTTAAGGATCGAAATACAATTATGTACTTATGAAAGTTAAAAAAATAACCTATTTTAAATATAATTAAATTATCAAATTTTGCGTTATCATGCTAAAGAAAACTACAAATGCGTTTTTCAGATTGTTTTTATCGGTAATAGGTATTCCAGCTAAATGTTCATTATCTAAAGAAGTTATTTTTAAATAATCAATAATTTTTTCCCCATCCATGATAGATGGCTTATCATTTTTGTGAATATAAGGAAACGTCCTTATTATTTTTAATTCAACCCAGAAATCAAAATTACTCATAAGTTACTTGGAGTACAATCATATAAGCATTAAAGTTATGAAAGTAACTTATTTCAATTAAGACTAAATAGAAATAATCAAATTTTGCGTTACATGCAAGGCAAAACCGCAAAAAAGTCTTTTAGATAACTTAACAATAATAACATTCAGCTAAATGTTCATTATCGCAATGAATTATTTTTTTAACCATTAATTTTTTTATCATCCTTGACAGACAATTTGTCATCTTAGATCTTAGTGGATGTTGTGATATACTTTTCTTATATTTTTAACTTCTAACACGACCCAGAAATCAAAGTAACTTGCAATTTAAATATCAGAGAAAAATCATGTTTATAAAAGCTTTTGTAGTAACCTATATATTATTTAAAATTAAATTAAAATTTAGACAAAACAAATGTTGCGTTAAATGCAAAGGAAAACAACGAAAAGGTCTTTTAGATAACTGAACAATAATTGCATTACAGTTAAATGTTCATTATCGAAATGAATTGTTTTTTTGACCATTAATATTTTTTATCATACTTGACAGACAATTTGTCATCTTAGTGGATGTTGTGAAACACTTTCCTATATTTTTAACTTTTAACATGACCCAGATATCAAAGTACCTTGTAATTGTTGAAATAGAGGAGTAAATGAAATGAAAATAATGAAATTTTGAATGAAAATAATTAGAATTTCCATTACACACAAATGAAAACCAAGAAAACGCTTTACTAGCAAACTAATTGTACGCTAACAGGCTAGCTTGGAATGTTTACTAAAATGTTCTCTATTTTATTTATTTATTTATTTATTTTAAGTACATAAATTGTGTGTTTTATTTTATTTCAAATATTTGAATTTCAGAATGATATAAAGAATTAAATTTTAAGATCATATCAGTTTTTTTTTCTAATTTTAAAATTTACGAATTATAAAATCTGAAAAAAATGTGTCATAAAATTTGCGAATTTCAGATTTTTCTGGCAAAGAGACTGAATGTTATCAATTATTATTAATCATTACAACTTATAAAAATCAAATAAAAAAAGAACAAATTATGTACAGCTGCAATAAACAAGCACCGCAGTTCACTAGAGGGCGTGGATATAGAGTACAAACTAGTTACTAGACCAGTGATGTCAACGTTCACCGTGACGTCCGTTTGGTCGAGTGATTGATCTTTNTTGGCAGATAGGCCAGTCAAAGAAGGAATTGAATAGTGGCCCGAAATTTAAATAAATAAACAAAAAAATTCACAATGTATATATAAAAAACTGCGCAAACCTTTCACGTTTTCCCTAACCACAACCAAAATTGATATAATAAAAACATTTGCTTACCTCCAACGTGAAAGATTTATGTCTTCTTAATATCCAACGAAAATTTGATGTAGAAATTCCAATTCACGGATTCTCTTACGATTAATTTGAAAAATAACAAAATAAAATCAACTACAAAAGTTAAGCAAATAAAACTATTAGGCTAGTTGAAATATTTAAGATGATTAAAAAAAAAATGCTTTTATAAAAAAAAAATATATATATACATTTTCTATGAAAGAAAATTTAGAATTGAACGAGGCCCAATTTAAAGGCACTATGGAAATCTCAAGACAGAGTGACCCAATGGAATTCTAAGAAGGCTCTCCCCCTATTTACAGCCCAAGAAATTTTTCTTCCTAGAAATTTATGAGCAGAAATCAGACAAAGGGGTGTTGCTGTGGATATCTGATATTTTCGAAGTTAGGAAAAAAGAACCCGGAGGCAATATAAAGAAGCTAAAGACATTTTCCCACAGTGTAAGGTGAGAAGGCTATTTGACAACTCTGTGGGTGGTAGCTATGAAAGTGGGGATATTTTCATTAGTGGAAAGATCTTTTTATTGCTCTTTTAGTTAGAAAAGTGAAGAGTAACAATTTTATATCTATAAGCACTGCGATTAGATTTTGAAAAGAATCCAACAGTTTAAGAAAGAAAAAAATATGTATATTATGGGCTTCAGAGGGCCTCAGCTCTGAATAAAACTTTAAAAAAAAGAAGAAAAAAGTGGGGTTTGGGGGCCCTCTTAAGTTATAAATAATAATTGAGTTAAAATTTAAAAAAAAAAACAATTAATGCAATGAGATTTTAGACTTTTGGGGGCCCCATTAGAACTCGGGGCCCTGGGCCAGGGCCCACTTGGCCCATCCTTAAAAACGGCTCTGGGTAAAATAGAATTAATATTTATCCATTCATTTCATTCAGCAGTAAAGCGTTCGGAATAAAGCGTTAGTTAGAAGTTGAAGTTTTTTTTGTGTATTCCAAGACATATTTGCTCAATAGTTTATTATTAAAAATTTCAAGTGTGAAATATCTGGTGGCAACAAAACACATTGTGCACGTTGTTTTGTATTTATAAATTTGTCCTGGCTTTTCGATTTCATATATCTAAATTTAATAATTTGAAGGAAAAACTAGAATGGGTCGCATTTTATTTAGGAAGGTATTGATTAAACAAACTTCTTTTTAAAGTCTATATCTTTTTTTAAATTTGATTAGCTTGATCTTTTTCAAATCGAATAATTTTTTTTCAATTGCGATGTGTGAAAAGCATTTTAGTATTGCTAAATTAGTTGGATAAATAGATAATGATTTTATTGATGTTTAAGTGTGTTCATTGTATTATTTATATGAGCATAATTATGTAAACTAGTGCGACTTTTTATTTATTTTTTTTGACAATGAACTATGAAAATAGAAAGTTGTCACTGTGTGAAATGAAATTTGATGCAAATATCTGAGGCGAAAACAAATATTTAAAAGACATTCTAAAGTGCCAGATTTATTGTTTCTGTGATGTATTTGATTAATTGTAAGTGAACGCTCATGGAATGATTTTGAAAAGAAATGGATTAGGCTTGTTTAAATTTGTTACTGTTCATTTTTCTCAGTTCTTGTAACTTTTCATTTGGTCTTAAATTGTGTATCTCTGTAATATAGTTCTAAATTGTTTTCTTCATAAGATAATTTTTTACTATTTCATGTTATTATTATATTTGACTATTGAAGAAATCAAGATAATGTTCTTAGTTATAAATCAATCTATTTAGTATCATACTTTTTTGGGGGATATTTCCGTATCGTGATCTGTCGCGTCAACTACATTCGTCAAATTTGCACGGGAATGGCTACGAGTTAAACCTTTCGAGTTTGTCCTTTCTGTGATATTTTTTTTAGTTTCTTGTGGGCCACAGCCCTTAAGTTACTGAAACTTGACGATTATCACAATACTGAGACCTCCGACATTTTTGCTAACGAAATAAAACCAAGTTTACAAACCATAACAAAATATTACATTTGATAAGATCGTATGTACATATTTGGCAATTTATGATGGTTGGTATTTAGTGAATGTGACTATAGTTTAAACCTTCCAGGAATTGTTAAGTGTCAATTTATATGCCTTGGTTCTAACAGTCATTATCTAATTTTTTTCAGGGGGAAAGAGGTATAGCTACTTCCTATGTTAGTAGGAAACAAGCACTGAAAAAATTAGGACTCTCCTTAAAAGATTTCAGGTATAAAATAAAAATTTTAACAGTACATATATTCTGAATGTTGTGATATTCTTTTTCAATTTTGTGTTTTAAATATGATTTCATACAAGTTCAATACAAATTACAAAGATTTTTTTCAGTGGTTAGTTATTAATTAATAGGTCGAACCTTATTAATTAAAAACATTATTATTTTTACTATAATATTGTGTTTGGATATTAATAATGTTTTTTATTAAAACTTTGGTTGGTAAATCTCTTAACTGATATTTGTATTAACAGAAAGCAAGATCCAACTTTTATTTTTAAAAAAAAATATTATTTGGTCAATTTTGTTTTTGAGAAATAGTTAATGAAATTGTTGAAAGTATGCAGGTTTTAAAAAAGATCCTGAATAAAAAATTTGAAATGAAAGTCATAATGAAAACACATTAATCATAGCTGTTAATAAACATAACAAAATGTAATTTTAAAAAAATACAAATAACGGAATCATAATCATCATATTTAGATATAAGTGCCACACAAAATCTAACAAACCTTTTTTTAATTTTCACCAAAGGGGTATTATATCTTTTATAATATAAACTTTCTCTTTCAGTTTCTTTTTGAGTAGCTTTTAAATTCTTGTTTATCATATTTTATGAAAAATCTACTTATAAATTTCTGATCCGAAAGTTACTGTTGAATTGTATTCCTTCTGTCATAATTTTTTTTTCTTAGATTAGTTTCTGAACATTTTAATCAATTTATGTCTTTTTATTTCTGAATATGTGTTTAAATAATATCAAAAGAATATGATCAATACACTATTAAATATATGTGATCTAGTGCTATTTGTATCTATCTAATGGTTATCAGAGATGCAAAACCTTTTTTTGATAAGGGACCACAAAAACTAAAAAATGCTATGTCGGAGAACAACATAGGAAGGTAAAACTTTATTCGTGAAAATTCAACGTGCAATTGAATCCTAATCGAAAGTGACATGCAAAATCCTAATCGTAATAATGTCTAACATTTTTATGAAATAATATTTTTTTGAAAGCACTAAACACAAGAAAATGGTCCTAGCTTACATGAAAACATTTAGTAATCATAGGAGTAAATGACCAGTAAAAAAATATAAGAAAAGAGGCCAACTTCCTACTATGGCTTTTTTCCCCCAAGGATATAAAAGAAAATTTTATCTTAATTTAATTTTTTTTTATTCAAAAAGACTTTTATAGTTTCTTTAAATAATTAATAACTGCTCGGGAGCCAAGTCATAAACTTTGAAGGCCAGTGGACCGTAGGTTGTATTATTCATAAATTCATTTGTATTCATAAATTCCTGTGACATATTTTATCAATCCCTATTAATCAGATAACATGTTTATATCCTCTTTATTTAAAGATTTGCAATTTTTTTTTTATGTTGGTTAAGTATTTCAAGGAATCAGTAAAATAATATTTGATAATTATTACAATGTTTTGCCCAATGAAAACTTTTATTTCAAGAACTTTAATGACTCAAACACTTAGAAACCATAAAAAATCTGTATTACCTACACATTTGCTATAATGATAATAGAAAAATGGAAATCTTTTAGCCAAAAAAATTTCCTGGTGACCTTTGAATTCTGAAGCTAAAATAAATATTGTCATTTTTGGAAAAAAGTTGTTTAAGTTGCTCTTTTTTCAAAAATTAGACATGTTAAATATGCATGCACTAAGAATATCCACTCTAAGATTAGAAAAAACTCATAATACAAAATAATATATTTAATAATTACAAAAGGAATTAAAGATGATGAAGTAAATATAGTGGACAAAAATCTTGCAGTATGTGGGAATCTGGAAGAGCTAAAAATATTAACAGAGGTCATAGCATCGAGAGATGCATAAGAAAGGAAAGATGACATAATCAAAGAATCAAATGTTTAAATTATATGGAAAAGATATTGACACCATTTGAAGTAATGATGTTTTTTTTTCTTACAGTAAATTCACACTAACAATTTTTAAAATGTCATTTTTGAATTTTATTTAAAAAAAATTTTAAATTTTATTAGATATTTAATGACATTATGGATTAAATATGTTGACACCTATAATAACAAATGTATTTTTGGGTTTACAGGAGATTATGCATTTTAAAAGGAATATATCCTGTGGAACCACCTAATAAAAGAAAAGCCAATAAGAAAAGCTCAACCAACAAAACATATTACTTCTTGAAAGACATTCAATTTCTGTCTCACGAACCATTAATCAATAAGTTTCGTGATTTCAGGGTAAATATTTATTACGCTTATATTGCTTTGTCTTTATTTATTTTATTTAATTTTTATCGTACGCAATATTAACTAAATTTTTGTCCCTTACCTATTGCTTTAAAAATGAACCTAAAAGGAATAAAATATTTTTTCCTTATTCTATTATTAAAATAATTATGGCTGAAGTTATTTATTTTCTTCCAAGATATCATTTTTTGTTTATGAATCTTCAGCAACATTAGAGCCAACATTTTGCTAGCATTTTACATTATGCTTTATTATGTTAAATAATGCATTAACTCTTTGTTCTTTATTTCCAGTTTTATTAAAAAAAAAAAAAAAAAGGTTAGGACAAAAGATTTTTTTTTTATTATAGTCTAATCTTACTGTTAACTCTATGCTCAGTTTGTGTTACAATCTATTTTGTTTTCTGCTCAGAAAAAGAAATATGTGCAGATTTGTTTTTTAATGTATAGAAAGATTTAAACATACCTTTAACAACATACCTTTTCAATAACACCAGAAAACTGATTTTTTGTGCAGATAAACAAGCTAATTCTATACTTACTCAGTTCAGGGTCAATAAAAGATTGATGCGTGTGGTGTTCTAAAAAGTTTATATTAAATATATATATATATATGTATGTATGGATTTGACTTATTATATATTCTGATTAATTGTGCCCTCATATGATGTTTGGTAATTTTTTCTTGCCAACTACTTTTGGTGCAGTTTTATTGCTGTTCTTTTTGTTACATGCCAAAATCAGAATCGAATAGTGAAATCCTGTTAAATTCTATATTCTAATGTTTTTATGCCATTTTAACAGTACAAAGCAAGCATTTCTTAAGTAAAATAAAAAAGTGGCAGATTTATATCAAATATTATCTCCCAGGCCAATGTTTCATTACTACTTTGCTGTGAATTTCATAAAAATCTAACGATATATACTCAGAAAACTAAAATTAAATAAAATTAAAGATGCATTTCATAAATGAAAAAATTACAGACCTGTATCAAATATTAAACTCTGTGTAACTTTTTTGCTACTCTATTGAAAATTTCAAAAAATATAGCAATATACACGCACAAAACTATTTTACAGCGCTAAACATGATTTGTTACTACTCTGCCTCGAGTTTCATAAAAATATTGCAATACATATATGCATTGTTATTATTTAATGATGCTAAACTAAAACTTGCATATCATATAGAAAGATATGTTAATAAAAACATAAACACATTGGAGATACTCGCTTATAGAGCATGTATCCTCTTTCTTTCCGTCACAACACCTTAAAATTCAGCATGTCTTTAATCATCGTTCAGCAGATGATCAAATCATTAGTTAAATAATTAGTTAAGAAAATTGATCAAATCATTAGTTATTTTATAAAGCAGTAAAGTTAACATTCCCCAGCATTATTTAAAGCAAAAAACTTGCAAAAAAATTATTCTCACACCCACATGCTAAGATTCTACACATCTCTTCAAAAATTAATTTAAGCATTCTTAATTTATTTTGACTATGTAGATGGATTGAAAAAAAAAAAAACACCTGGATGATTATTTAATGTTCAGGGCTTAATCCAGGGCGATTTTGGTACCGTTTTTCGGTACCTTCACAAAATTAAAAAAAAAAATCGGTACCTTCACAAAAAAAACGCATCTTCACGAAAATAAGAAAGAAAGTTAGAAGGAATTAAAGTGCTGAATAGTTTTCCGAGCGGTTCACGGAAAAGTGGATTCACAGTGAACGCCGTATGGTACGCCATCAGGCTCGAAAACAGGCTTGATATGCTGACGTCACTTCTCCTAAATACGCCATTCAATCGGAGTGAGTGGTGAAGTTTTTATACTAAGCAACCGGCTAAATTGAGCCAGCGCATAAACAACTCACCTCATTTTCCCAGACGACAAGTGTTTTTGTTATGATTTAGCGTAAAACGTGTTCCATTCGTATTTTTTAACAAGATATATGAAAAGTTTTTATAATGAAGCGAGGAAGAAATTTAAGTGGAGCGGGTGGCTCACGGAATAGCGATTATTACGTGAAGTGTTTACGCACGATCGATAGTATAGGAACTAAATCAATTAAAACATTTTTTCAGTCTGAAAAAACTGAGGAGAAACTGTCACAACAGTCGCCGTCTGAAAAAACCGTTGATAACGAGGCACAGTGCATTAAAAATGCTACGGAACCAATGATTGAAGAGTTACATGATTGTTTTGTTACAGAAAAAAGCGATGCTGTTCCTGCGATAGAGGAAAATGTCGAAAGCGAAGTCAATTTCATCAGTAGCAAAAAGCCTGAAAACATCGATAAGGAAAATAAATTAACCAATGTCACAAAGTATGAAAAATGTAAAGAATGGATTTACTATAGTCCTTCAGCTGGAGGGTTTTTATGCAGAGTGTGTTCTGTTGTAAATAATAAAGGACCTTGGATAACTGAAGGGGTAAATTTTCTTGGGCATCCAACTAGATGCATGAAGAAACATGAAGACTGTAGAATGCATATTAATGCAACAAGCAGTATCAATTCAGTTAAAAAACTCAATGTTTCTGAGCAAATTCAAAAAGGAGCCGAAAATGATAAAGAAAAAAATAACATTGTAATGAAGAAATTTGTTAAAGTTTTAAACTTTATGTTACAAAAGCAATGGGCTGTTTTAGAAAATTTTGAGAGTTTAATACAATTTTTGGGCAATGATCTTCAAGATACAGACATTAGGAGACACTTAGAAACTTGTGCAAAAAATGCAACATATTTATCACGAGTTTCTGTACAAAACCTTTTGGAATGTATTTCCGAATACATTGAAGAAAGTATGTTATCACAATTAAAAGTGTGTGATGCTTTTGCTTTGTTTGCAGATGAAAGCATGGACAAAGCACAAAGAGAGCAACTAGGCTTATTAGCCAGATTTAAAGTTCCTAATGGAAAAGTTCAAGAGAATTTTTTAGGACTTATAAATTTAGCAGCTACTGATGCTGCAACTATAATGAGCACAATTGAGCACTTTATGCTTGCAAAAGGCATAGATATAAAAAAATGTCTATTTGTGTCATTAGATGGAACCAACGTGATGAGTGGAGAAGTAACAGGGTTACAAAGAAGAATGAAGCACATATCTCCTCATTGCATTTATATAAATTGTCGCAACCATCGGTTAGCTCTTGTGTTTGCACATTTGCTAAAGAAACATAGCTATTTAAAAAGTGTGGACACTTTGTTGATTAGTTTGTGGAAAATGTTTCACTATAGTGCAAAAAAATATAATATTTTGAAAAATATACAAGAAAATGTATACAATATAGAAACACTAAAAATGTTAAAAGTTTCTACAACACGATGGTTATCACATGGGCATGCATGTGTTAGAGTGGCATCTCGATTTAAAGAGATGATTGAAACTCTAGATGCAGTTTTCAATAACACAAAAGAACCAGAAGTAAAGGGTGTGAGAGATCAGCTCTTAAACCCAGAAGTTTTTTTAACTATGTTGTTTCTAGCTGATATGCTAAAAATTGTTGATAGATTAAATTTGTGGCTGCAAAAACAATCAATTAACTTTAGTTCTATCAATGATAAAGTACAAGACACTTTAAAAGACATTGAGAACTTTGGTAAAAATTTGAGAGAAGCAACTTTTTTTTCTAAAAGCTTGGATTTTCTAGAGTTTGCTGAAGAAGTAACTTGTTTAAACCGCAAGCTTCGTAAGAACAAAAAAAGTGATTCGCATAAAATATTGTTAGATTTTGAGAACAATTTTATCTATCCATTTTTAGATGATTTTAAAAATGAGATGAAAATTGCATTTGAAGTAAGCGACAAGTCTCCCTTGGCTGCATTTGACGTTTTTGTCCAAGACCATGAAAGAAGAGATGTCTATCAAGCAGAATTAATTGAAAAAAAATGGTCAGATTTAATGTTGTTCTATGGCCAAAAGCAAACTAATCATTTTCAAGGACAAACAACAGAGTCTGCACCATTTATTCAAGAAATATCAGCAAAAGAAGAACTTATTAAATTTGAATTAGAAATGCAAGAATCAAAATTAACCTTTGATATAGAAAAATTAGAAGCAGCAAAATTGTTGATTAGAAAAAATGAAAAAGATGAAGCTAAAGTGTGTATGGGACACAAAATTACACCATCAGATTTAATATCAATTATGGAAAGAAAAGCTACAGTGTGGAATGATTTTCCTAATTTAATGAGACTGTTAACTTTATGTGTGATTGTTCCTTCCTCTACAGCATCTGTGGAAAGATTGTTTTCTAAGATGAATTTAGTCTGTACCAAACTGAGATGCAGCATTTCACAGAAGTCTTTAAATTGTCATCTAAACATAATTTTCAATGGATCAAAATTATTATCTGATGAACAGGCTCAAAACATAATTACTATCTTTAAAAATACTAAAAATCGCAAAATATCTCTGTGATTGATATAATTTTATCTATGTATTCTGTATTTCTATTATTTTTTCAACCATTAATTCAAAAGTAAAGTTAACACAATATCAAAATAATAATCTCTTAATCATAATAAGTTCAATAAATTTTATTAGTAAATAAGTTTAAAAATTTCTATGCTGGCTGGCTGTATAATTTACATTGGATTAATAAATGGAATTAATCTGCAAGCTGTCTTATAAGCAATTCCTTGCGCAATATGTGTATGTTTTTTATAGTATTGTACTTTTTGTATACATATGTAATTTTTTTTTAGCAATACTTAATTTTCACAAAAATAAAAAAAAATTTCACAAAAATAATTTTTTTCACAAAAATAGGTACTAGGATTGAAAACCTGGATTAAGCCCTGATGTTAAAAAGCAGTGTAGTGAATTCCTTATAAATTTATACAGGCAATTGCACATAAAATTGGGGGAAAAAGAAGAGAGAGAGAAAAAAACTGTGCAAGTATTACAAAACTTCTGTTCCGCACACACTATCAATCATTACATCACATTAATCTCAACAAACAAGTAAAATCCAAAAACCACATTGGCCGTAGCTGTTGTTTCGTGCTTCCGATAAATCTATTGTAAACAGCTGATCTAAATCAGGTACTCCCACCGTCGAGATCTCTTGTAAAAACATGGACGGAGAAAGAGGTATTAAGTCATCCAGATCTTCTGAGAGGTATGTGAGAGGTCTTGAATTGATNCAATGTTTTGGAGAAAAGAAATCCCGGAAACCGTGTGCAGACACATAACAAATCAGTTCCAGAAATTTAATATTAGTCTAAACTATGATTAAACTTTTTTCTGCAATTTTTCTTATTTACATAAAAGGTGTTATCAATTGATTGAGTAAGTATGTACTTTTAAATAAAAATACTATTTGTTTTATGTTGAAGAATTTAATTTAGATTTTAATATATCTTTGTGTATATATCTGACCAAGTAAAAAACTCATTGTACCATATATACTTGTACTAGTTACTTGTTAAATTCTACTTACAAATTTGTTTAATGATTGATGAATGACTATTTGAAATACTTTTTTTTCATTTTAAAACTTTACATTACAACAGATTAACTTAAATTTTAGTTTAATTTTAGTTAGTTTAGTTAATTTTTTAAAATGGTTTTCAATGCATTTAAACAGTTTTGTTTTGTCTCTGTAATTTTTACTTGAAATTCTTTAGGTGTTTGTGAGACGCTTGAAGAAGGCTATTGGTAAACAAGATCAAGACACTAGCCAAAGACTTCGTGAAAATCAACCCATTTTTAAGCTAGACCATGTTGTTAAAGAAAGGTAAATTCCAGAATGTATAATAAAACTCCATTCTATATTTGTTAACATGTTTAAAATCCAGAAGTATTTCAGAAAGTCTCACAAGAATTTTTAGGAGTGACATTATCATGATAATAAATAGAATAAAAAGTATTTTAAGTCCCTTGATTACTTGAGTTCTTAAACCCAAGATTTAGTTTTAAGCGCATAATACTAGTACATTGCCAACAGTGCCTGTAATCAGTAAAAAGAAACAAAAAATCTGAAAATATGCCTTTAAGTTTATGTATCCTAGAATTTATTTTGTAATATAATGTCTAACATCTCTAACCTGACCCTCTTTAAATTGATTTTTTTTCTTTGTGATAATTTTGTAATCCTTGCCAAAGCATCCATCTTAGCTTTAAAAAAGAAGTAAGTTTTTTTGATAATCTGAAGAAATTTTTGTATTTGACACAATTCTCATATACATGTCAATTTTTTTGTTTAGAAAGAATTACGATTTGAGAAGAATTTTGGCAACATCTAAACGATGTCCACCCAAGCCACCGGAATAAAAAATAAATGAACTATTTTCTGAAGAAATTTATTTTAACTTGCTCTCATTTGTCTGTTGTTATTGCAATTCTATCCATAACTAAGTTTGAGACAGGATCAAAAGACAAACTCAATATAAAACTTTGGGGGGGATCCACAAAATACTTTTAAAGCAACAATTTTTTTTGTTTATTTATATATCTTTATCTATTTTTTTCTCATTGAATTGCATGTTTGTTCTCTCATGCGAAACATTTTCATTTTCAAGTTTTTAATTACTCAATATTCAATCCTGCCAACTTTAGTTTATTTTCGAAATATGATTGTTTGTATTTGTGGAAGTCAATTTTTTATTTCGATTATTATTTGAGTTATAATTTATTATAACTAAATTTTCAATAGTAATTGTGTAAAAACTAATGTATAATGTAAATATGAATATAATTTTTTTTCAAGTTTGTATTTAAAAGTTTCAATTTTTTTTCAAGTTTGTATTTTTTTTTTTAAAGTTTGTATTATTGTATTTGTAAATTTTTTTTCAAGTTTGTATTAACAGTATAGTACCCATTATTGGGTACTATACTGTTTCCTTTGAAGTGATAGTTAAAAAATTTTTTACTAGGTACCCCACATTTGTTGATGCTTTAAGAGATTTAGATGATGTGATTTCTATGTGCTTTCTATTCAGTTCATTTCCAAAATCACATAGCATTAAAGTGGAGTTAATACATTTATGTAGGAGACTTACTGGTTAGTAATACAACAAGTTTTATTGTTTCAAATTATTGCTTTTTCAATTATATACACATAAATGTTACTTAATAAAATAAATTTTTTTTTATTATTTAAATTTGTTTTAAATTTTTGTTTTTCTGTCAAATGAATTTACATACATATCCATATATTCCTAATTGATCTCATTACTCACTAGAGCACTGGCACATTGGATGATTTTAAGCCGTGCTTCAGGCAGTTCTGATATTATTGGAAGCATTTTTTTATTAACTTTATTTTATTTTTTCTGGGTTATAGCTCAACTATAATTTTATTATAAGGTACTGAGTAAAAATATAAGTCATTTAAAAAAGTATTTATTAATGTCTAAGTTGTATGGTGCATCTGAATTTGTCAAGAAATTGTTAAATGTTATGCAAAAAGTTGAGCGTCCTCACCATCTCCAAATTACTTTTGTTTGGGTATAATTTTTGTAATACTGAATTAAAATTTTCAATGTTACAATCATTTATATATTAAACTGAGGGATTATGAAAGGAAAAAAAAATATTTATGTTGTTGCCATGATATTTTACTAGTGTGATTTAGGGGTACTGTATTAAGTTACTCATTTTAAAAGTTAAAATAAAATCTTTTAATTGATCTCTTTGTACAAATTATTTCAAGTGATTTTAATCCAATTAACAGTTCAGTAATTACAGATTTTTTTTTAAAAACAGTTAAGTGAGAGTTTTATAAATATTGTTTAGTTGCAATCGTATAAATAATATTTAGTTGCAATACAGTAGTGATTAGTTTAATTCTAAATTACTTTAAATAAAACATTAAGCTTTGATTAAAAATTATTTACCTGTTTTAAAATGAATATTAGTGTTCAGATTGAATATTATTTTAAGAAAAATACATCAACTTCCATATACAAATACTTTTCGTGTTTTTATAGGCACAAGTAGATTAGATAGTCTAGAAATCTTCAGAATGAATATTAAATCATCAGATATTCTTTGATTCCGCAAGAGAGATTATTAAACAATTACATTTTGTTGACATTTTTTTTATTTTTAACAATGACATTTTGTAGCAACTTAAAGAAAAGTCATCTTAAAGTGAACTCATCAAACTTAACTTAATCAAACTTAAAGTGAAATTACTGAATATTCATGTATATAAAAACCATTTTTTACCACTAAATNTTTGTAGTTAATGTTTAATTTGTAAAACAGATTTCTGACGTTTTGTGTTAATGCTCAAAGTTAACCTATATATACATAAAAAAAAAAAAACACTACTACGCCATTAAAAAAACACCACTTAAAAAAAAAATTAAAAAAAAGCACTACGTTTTATTTATGCAAAGTAGCATAGAACTTGATTCATTACATCTTAATTGAAAGCACAATCATTTAGGAATGTTAATTGGGAAAAAAAACATGTTATTTTAAAAAATTTTTTTAACAACTTTCTGTTTATTTTGTTTATTTGCTTAATGTAATTCAATTATTCATCTTTATTGGTTTTAGTTGAATTCTTGCACTACATCGTAGAGACAAAGGCCTTGCGTAAAGTTTTCGTGTCTATCAAAGGAATTTACTATCAAGCTGAAATAATGGGACAAACAATAACTTGGGTTGTACCTCATACTTTTGGTTTTAATGTAAGTTATGCTTTTTGTTATACTTTCATCACATGTGTTTTATTTTAACAATATGCAATCAACTATAAGTGGGAGGTAGTTATTTTAGTTTCAAAATTGAGCCTTTATTTTATTTATTTATTATTGTAATTTTTCCCTTCAAATAATTAACTTAGAACTTGCTATTTTTTCTATTTAAAATAATATGTTTTTAAAAACTGGAAACTATTTTTAATTTTTGCTCAGTAATAGACAAGGTTCTTACAATATCATTGTGTTAAAATGAAAATAAAAATTACCAACAGTTGTCTTTTACAGTACTTTGAAAAAAAGAAAAAAAACTGTGTGATCAGTTCTGCAACTTTATGGAGAAAAAACTTCATTATTTTTTTGCTGATTCATATATTATTATTATTATTTTTTTTTTACCTTTGTCAACGAAACAGACATTAAAATTTGATTAGTTTTGCAGTAGATTTTTGACTGAAAAGCTCTTCTCTTTTTTGTTAAAACAAAGAAGTGATAATTATTCTTATTATCGAATTTTAAAAAAAATATACTGTTGAAAACATGAATGTTCTAGATTTTAGAAAGAATTCTTCCAACATTAACTATTTTTGAAAATAAAAGAATTTTGAAATGCACTGAGCTAGTGCATAAAAGATCTATATACTAATTAGGAGGATGTTATTCATGTTAATTAAATGTTTACTATACCTTTAGATGTATAATGCAGTTATAAAAGTTTTTGCTTTCTGTAAAATTGTAAAACTTTATTCATAAAGTATTTCATTTGCCTAAAAGTTACTATGTCCTCAAAATATTAAATTTAGTTATTTTACTTTATACTATTATTTTATAGCAGTGTGTGATATATTCCATTTTAAAATGTATTCATAATAGTGTAGTATTGTTAGAGTTACTGCTCAAAATGCTTATAGTTAATTCTAGTTCTATAAAATTTTTTATTGCATTAAAAACTTTTATAAGCATTTATAAACATAGACAATGAAAGGAAAATATTAACTATGTTTCAAAAACAAAGGCAGCTAGCTAATACTTCATTCTCTTTCAGAGACCTACAGACGTAGACTTTAAAATCATGGTTACATTTGCTCAGTTCTACAGTACCATGTTGGGTTTCGTTAATTATAAGCTGTACAGTTCAATAAACTTGAAATATCCTCCAGCGGTAAGGAAATAATTTTTACTTAGATCATGGTTTGTTTGTTTTTAAAAAATTAAACACTTGCAAAGTTTGGAAGCCTGAGCAAGTTGATATTGTTAATAATAATACAGGAGTATGGTTTTTCCACATGAATTTCATAATGTATCATGCCTTCCCCCCTTTTTTTTTCTTTCAAATTTCTTGTGTATTGTGAGCATTTGCAATAAAAAGGCAAAATGATTTTAGAAGCAATAAGTAACTTACTGCTTTAGTTTAATCTATAACATCAAAATAATAGGCTTTCTAAGTAAAATAGTTTAATTTCCTTTTGAAGTAAAATAATGCAAACAGCTAATAGCCATTAACAAACACAATATTCTGGCATTTGAGTGGTTGATAATAGTCAAGTTATAAGAGTTTAGCATCTGGTTAGAACATAGTTGTTAAACAGAAAACAAATTCTCTGTTTTTTTTTATTTTATTATTATTAATACACTGGTTATCATAAATTAAGGAAAAATCACAAANTAAAATTCCATGTGTAATTTCTTGAGTTATCGCGATTTTTGTGATTTTTCCTTAATTTATGATAACCAGTGTATTTTATGGTTATTCAAAATAGAAAAGTAAAATGCCTGTTTTTATTAAACTTTTTTTTGTTGTTTCTATTTGTTTTCAGTAGTTTTACTCATATTTTAGCATTTATATACTCACAAAATCAGTTTACATCCCCCCTTGATTATTTGATAATTTCGATGTTCTCATGTCCCCCTGGTTTAGTAGATGTTGAATATTTGAGGTTCTGCTGTATTTATAATAATCCAGTATATTTAGGTGTGTTATGCTTATTGAAATTAAACAAACATAACTTAAGTTTCTTTGTAGATGTACAAAAATATCATTTTACACACCAATCAATTTTTAAAAAAATTCAAAATGAAACTTTATTTCAGTAACAGGATGTTGGAAAAAACTGAGTCACTGAGTTTTTTTTTAATTAATAATAATTTTGTCCTTTAATTTCAAAATAAATTCAAAAAAATATTGTGAGGTGTAAACAATTATTTTTTGGTAGTATACTACCACCTGGTTTTATCCAATCTAGTTTAATGTAATTGAAATTGGGTAACCAGTTAAATAATGAGTAAGAAATTTTTTTTTATTACTAAAATANATAAAATATCTTTTTTTAATTAATAATAATTTTGTCCTTTAATTTCAAAATAAATTAAAAAAAATATTGTGAGGTGTAAACAATTATTTTTTGGTAGTATACTACCACCTGGTTTTATCCAATCTAGTTTAATGTAATTGAAATTGGGTAACCAGTTAAATAATGAGTAAGAAATTTTTTTTTATTACTAAAATATTTGTTAATCGCATTAAATTGATTAAATTAATTTTATACACTATATAACTTACAGAGATTTTAAAATCAAGCAGTATCGAAGTTTTGAACTTAATATGTTTGTAACATTTAGTAGATTTAGGTAGCAGTAGAATCAGATTTTAGAACAGAAATCATGCTTCTTTCATGCTCATGCTTTGATCATGCTTCTCTGCATTGCTAACATGTTCAAACCACCTGAGGTTTTATACAATAATGTTGAAAATTAGGTGATTTAATAATTTAAAATAACAGCTAAATAAGGTGTTATCTGATGCTAAATTTACCATGAATAATTCTTGAAGCCATTAGGAAGTACAAAGAAAAATTGGCGGTGAAAAAATTAAAGCTTTTCTGATCAAATTTTGCAAAACATTGGCATTGAAAAACAAGTAGCCTACACTGTCTTTCATTCACCTCTAAATAGCATAGTGACTATCTGCAACCAGTTTCATGCGATTAATGATTACAGAATGATGAATGATGCCGAATAAATCCAGACCCATATTTTGTCCAGCTCTCGCCTATTTACTATGCTTTATTTTGTAGTAAAAATGTAATTTTATTAATTCCATGATTTTATTTATCATTCTTTCCAGTTCACTGGTTTTTACTAGAAAGTAAATAAAAAAAATAATACATTGTCGAAAGTGTAAATTATATTTAAAATGTAAATTCTTTCCAGTTCACTGGTTTTACTAGAAAGTAAATAAAAAAAAATAATGCATTGTCAAAGGTATAAATTATATTTTAATTCCATGTACTACCCTCTAAAAAAATTTAAAGATGAATTCATATAATTATGAAGGAATGACAACTTGCTCCTCTTTAGGGGGTGATTTTTCTAGCAGAAGCAAAAGTCTTATTTTAAAGTATGATTTTTGATTTAGTGGACTCGAATTAAAGTTATTCAGCCCACAAAGCTTTAAAATTAATTCTAAAGTTCATATAAAATGCAACTTTGTTCCAGTTATCTTGGATTGACCATATTAAAATATTTTATTTTATAAGTAACCAACATTGAACAGCCGTCATCGTGGATAATTTTAATTCAAAACTTTATCTATAACTATTTTTATCTAGAACTTTGTACATCAGACCTAATTCTGAGTTTACGACTTCGAGGCCTTTTTATCGAAACTAACCCGAATTTGCTTTGGTTGGAGAGGAAAATTACAGAAACCTCCAACGGTTAGCCTGACGGTAAGGGGACTCTAATCCACGATCCATCGACCACTAAGAATTTTAACTAATAAGATATTGGTAAAACTTTGCAGAAGCCTGCAAAACATAGTTTTTAATACTTTATCATAGTAATATTATATAGTTGACATTCCTGATTATATCAAGGAAATCTGACCAGTTGACCTGACCAGTTGTTAATATGAGGTAGTAATTGATCTGTAATATAAGGTAGTAAAGGGTTTAAAGCTATTTTATTAATTATTTGTTATACTTACGCATAATGTTTTATTTCACATAGCTTGCTGTTAGTTGTTCGTCTGAAGAATTGATGAATGGGGAAGAGGACAGCACGGAGGTAAGATATGTCTTTATGTTATTTAGTCAATTATTGAAATTAAATTGAGATCCAACCTGTTCCAGATAATTGAAAAAAATGGTTATTCTTGAATGGGGAAATATGATCTTGCTTTAAAATATTAGTTTTAAAATTCATAACATTGCAGCTATCTTTGGACTTGTTTTTTACGCTTGTATCTACCTCTTTTGTCTTGTTTTGGAAACTCTGCAGGTGTTGCATACCTGCCAAGTATCCTGTTTTTTTAACGAAGACTCCCGTATTTTATGACTATTCCTGTTTACTCGTTTATTCTCACGTTTCTCCGTATTTGTTGAAGAAATTAAAAATAATGAAAATTTTTGCCGATAAAATATCCTCTGATGGCAAAAATTCTTCTCTTATTCCTCAACAGATAGTGCCATTGCCAGTACAGCAGTATGTTGAGTGTTAATTGTTTGAGTAATTACATGGATCTGTCTAGGTTTTTCAGAGAGGTACCTATTTTTTGAAAATTTTGAATAATTTGTGAAAAATTATATTAAAAAATCAACACAAAAATATGCTCAAAATATGGATTTACCGTTTCTTAAGGGATACAAAAATAAAATTTTAAGAAAATGTATTTTGTGAAACTACCATTTTTCCTAAAGTTGAATTTGTAAAACTACCGTTTTTCCTAAAGTTGAATTTGTGAAGGTACCGGTAGTAAATTCGGCCTGGACAGACCCCTGAATTATAGATAATGGTTTTAAGGAAACTTCTTCAAATTAAGATTTATGTATATACATATTTTTTTACTTAATTAAATGTAAGTGTTTATAATATTTCGAATTTCTCTTATATGCATGATGTATCAAAACTTTACTTGTAGCCTAAAAAATCTCGCTAGTAAAATCTCCCTTATTTTATTTCTCCAATGTTGGCAAGTATAGTGATTGCTAGTCATCTTACCATTTTTTTCCCTCCAAAGTGTGGAGTTATCAGTTTGGGAATTTTCTTGCATCGTATACTGATTCGTAACTGTTTAATTCTATTTCAATTCAGTTCAATCCAAGCATTTCAATTCAAACATTTTCAAGTTAAATTATGTGTGGGAACTTTCTTGATGTGTGTGTATGAAGTTATTGCTAGTGCCATTAGTAACATGATATAATTGCTTCTTTATTTATAAACTACAATTTGAATTATACCTGGCCATTTAATGCCTGGAAAAGTATTCAATTTAAGAGTCAAAAAATTTTGTCGACAAATAGTTCAACTGTTTGCATAATTTCATTGTTAGATTCTATCAGAGTTTCTGTCAAGAAATATAAATAAAGCAGGTTCTATTTATCTAATATTTCAACGTAGATCACTATACACCTCATGGAGTTTGTTTTTTTTAAGTTGCTTTTATAATTGTTTTCTTTTTTAATAATTGCTTGTGTTTATTTATAGTTTATTGCTGCTCTCAATTTAAGTCTTAAATCCACTTTGGGCAACAATGTGGAAGAAGAGGAGGAAATTGACGAATTCCCTGAAGTAACTTATTTTTCTTTATTTTAAATTGCATTTTAATTCATTTACACTGAATTGTATTTCTAAATATTATTTTCACTGTAGATGTCCAACGATGAAAATATTCAGGAACAAAAAGCTAAATCTGAAGAAATTAAAAAATTCAAAAACCTTTTTAGTGGTTGCAAAATTTTCCTCAACCGGGAAGTTCCTAAGGAATCTCTTCTGTTTATTATAAGGTTTGCATTGGATTTTTCAAACAGATATATTCGTTTTTCCCCCCACTTTAACTTATTTATTTTAATTGCACTACTGCCTTTACTTTTGTTTTAGATGTTTCGGAGGAGAAGTGTCTTTTGATAAAACAATATCACTTGGTGCAACATTTGATGAAAATGATCTGACAATTACACATCATATTATTGACAGGCCATTAGGAACCAAACAGTACATTAATAGGTAAAACTGATCTTTTAAGTCAGAATTTTACTCACACATTATCCTACTTTAAAATTTGTAACATCATATTTATTTTTAACTGCTTGAATATTATATTTGTAATTTTTGTTGTTCTGTTTGTGTTGTTGCTTCTAAGGCCACTTACCAATAGCGGCGAGCCTGCTTGGTTGGACCGAGCAAATGTTAGGCATAGGCTGTGTTTTACAGTGGCGCCATTTATGGCCAAGAATATGACTTCAGCCGCGCACAGGTCTCAGCCTGTTATTATCGCGGACCCATTCTTTTACATGTTGTAATTTTGACATAATCCAGAAAACAATCAATTTCTTATTCAGTACCCCGAGGGGTATGATTTGTTGAGGTGACATGGAGGACTTTGTGACCCAACAGATTTAACATGCATCAGTCACCATTTCCTACACGTAGAGTTTTCGATTTCACAGCCTTTTGGGCGTAGGCCCAGCACTCTACCAACCAGGCTATCCTGTTCCTTTTCCTCTGAATACTTTTATCTTTGTTGTAAAAGTCTAAGTTATACTAACCTTTAAGGGGGGCCGGGATAGCCTGGTCGGTAGGGCGCTGGGCCCATATCCAAGAGGTCGTGGGTTCGATCCTCGCCGGCCGAAGACTCCCCGTGTAGTAAATGGTGACTGATGCACGTTAAATCTGTCGAGTCTCAAAGTCCTCCATGTTCCCACAACAAATCAATACCTCTGGGGGTACTGATCCAGGAGTTTCCTTGTCTTCTGGATTGGTTCAAAATTGCAAGGCTACGGAGTTGAACGTAAGTAGTCGTAAACCCATGAAATTGGGTCGGCTGTTCAACGACGGTTATAAAATAAAATAACCTTTAAGGGGTTTCACTTTCTTCAGATAAATATAGTTTCCACCATAACAATTCCCAGTGATCTCCACTTTTATCTATTTGTTATTTTTTCATGCTCTCTTTCGACTCTATTCCTTTGCTTTACATATTTCTTTACTTCATGTACATCATTGTGGTAAATTGCTGTATCATTTAGGTTTTGCACCACAATGCTCCTTTTGGCTCTTCTACCATAATACACAAAAATCAATATAATTTATATTGAAAAATTGTATGCTTTTTTAGTGATTTTGATTTATGTTTAGTGTTATTTGCTTATAATTTAACTAGGTTGATATTTTCTTTTTGTTTCAAAATTCACTTTTATTAGTGAACAAAAAAAATAATTTTTTTAAGTGATCTCGATAATTTTTTAAAGTGGTCTTATAAACTATATAATATACATAATTAAATTTTTCCAATTATTTGGTAAAGGAATCTACAGGATTTATAATATCTTAATATCTCATAATAATCTTTTGTTGAATATTTGCAAAAAAAAATTGTGTTTTGAATTGTTGATAGTGATTTAATTTTATTTTCCTATATTGCTTTTTAGTGATGACAACATGTAATCTTAATGTCGACGACTCATAATTTGTATATTATTACTTTGTTTTTCATTATCTTGTTTTAATCTTTAACATGCATTTTCATGCTGATATAATTATGACCTAGATTTTGTAGTCGTTTTACTATTTACCTAGCATGTACATTTAAACTTGCTTATAATAAGTGCAAAGAGACCACAATATTTGCTTATCACATCTGAGTGTTTGTAAAAAGTGGGTTCATGAAAAATCTTAAAAGTTCACGCATGCAAACAAATACAATTGTTTTATTATTTTTTGTTTAAATAGTTAATTGGCTTTGTGCTCTCTCTTTGTTGTGTTATTGTTCTTTGAATAAGGCTCACAACCCAAAAAACATTGAGCGAATTCATCAACCCAAGTAAACATCAAAGAGATATTTTTATGCATTTTTCACTATGAAAGGATGAACTGGAGTGGTGGGACTAATTGTAAATTTTGTGAATCACAAAAATATTGCTTGCTAAAAGTGTGGTTTTCAAAGTGAGCTATGCTCCAATAGTACCTAACATAGTAGTTATCATTGTACCTAACATATATTTCTGATTTCTCCTTTCGATTAATGAATCATTTATAAATTAGGTACTATGTTCAGCCCCAGTGGATTTATGATTCAGTCAATGCCCAGATGCTTCTTCCTGTTGAACTCTACTTTCCTGGGGAATTACTTCCACCTCATCTCTCACCATTTGTTGAGGAGAAAGAGGGTGATTACATTCCTCCTGAAAAACAGGCTCTATTAGATTTCCAGAGTGGAAGAACTCGAAGTATGTTCTTTTTTTATTTTACTATGTTTAGTGAAATTTTTTAATTTATCTCTGTAGCCAAAGATCATACCTGCCAAGTCTCCTGTTTTTTTTTAACAAAGAATCCTGTATTTTGCAACTATCTCCTGTTTACCTGTATATTCTCAAATTTCTCTGTATTTGTTGAAGAAATTTTTAAAAAAAAATTTTGCTGATAAAATAATGGCAAAAATACTTCTCTTATTCCTCAACAGATGGTGCTATTGCCAGGCAGTATATTGAGTGTTTATATTTTAAGTAATTATAAATAAAGCTTTAAAAAAATCTTATTTAGAGATTAAGAATTATATACATATTTTTTACTTCACTAACTGTAAGTGCTTATAATATTTCCAATTTTTAATTTATCTTTTTGACTTACTTGATTATATGTGATGAGCCTAAAATATGTCGCTGGTAAAATCTCCATTATTTTATTTCTCCAATGTTGGCAGGTATGCAAAGATTGATTAGAATTTTTTAGGTTTTGATATTTAAAAAGAAAGTAAATCTATATCTAAACAGACCCTAGTTTCAAAACAGTTTACCAATGTCAGGTTCCCTTATAGGTTGATTTTTATTTCACTTTTTTAATGCGAGAAATGTATTTTACAACTACAGTCGAACCCCGCTATAGTGAACCTGGGATATAGTGAACACTCGGATGTAGTGAACTTTTTTAGNTTAAAAATAAAACCAATTATCTTAATACCTGCTGGCATCTCTGATATTTCTTATACATTTTTCACTTGCTCGGTTAAATACTATTTTAATAAAAATTTAGATTGTGGTAAAGTTATTTGATGAAAAGATATCAATAAAAACTTTGGAAAAGTTTTTCATAACCAATGCAATGTTGCTGTTTTTTTTATTTTATTTTTATGTATTATTTTTAAATTTTATTATTTTCAATTAGAAATTAAAGCATTTAAAATGCATATTTATAAAAAGAACATTTTCAAAAGAAAACATCTTATTCTCTTTTTGAAACCTTAAGTAACTTTTTGGTTGCATAGTTCATATAGTTTTTAAATTCATACTTGTATTATATCTCGGGGGGGGGGGGGNGGGGGGGGGGTTCTTATCTTCAATATTTTTTTTATTTCTGTCATTGTATGTTATACCTTTTATTTTAAATTTTTGCTATAAATGTCTTCAAACTATCTGTTATTTATTTATTTTGCATTTTATATTATTTATTTGTTAAAAAATCGAAAGAGTATATTTAGTATTCAGTTTTTCATAACGTAACCTAGATTAGGATAATAAAAATAAATTTTGTAATATTTAATATTCATTTAAATTACAAACTAAACTACAAAGGACAATTACACTAATAAAATTGTTTATATTGTTCATTGTTTATATTGTTTAATTGTTCATTAATTACAAAAAATAAAAATCGCATTTTCATAAAAATTTATTAATGTATAAATCTTGTTTTTCTTTAGCTCTTTCACGTGTTGAAGATTTCAATGATGAAGACGAATCGGATTCCGAATCAGATAAAGAAACAGTGGAAGAGAAATCGGAATGTAAGAGTAGTGGCTTTTACTATTTTGATGATTGTTGTATACTTTTTTTTGTTTATTTATAAATTACTTTTTTTTCTCTTATTATAATTTTTTTATATTGAGTCATTTTGTCATGTCAACTTTTTTCTTGAATATAAATTTTTATATTCATGGTTACCAATACTTCTGTTTCAAAAGTTTTTACAATTTTATGAATAGCCAGCTGTCATTGCCATATCTAACTGCTTACTTTTATGCTCAGCAAACTGATTTTTCTTCTTATTTTACCCCTGTCACACATACAATTAGAATTTTGTGTCAAATAATGTGTGAATTAAGTCTGTATTTTAAAACATACATTCCAAGGTTTTTAGAAAAGTTTTTTTAATGGAATTTTTTATGTTGAGGACAAAAATTATAGTTGTCTAAGAAAAATTTTTGTACATTTTCTTCATTTTTTTTTTATAGTTGATTCTATAAATTTAATTGATTATCATATAAGTTTTATGTTAATTTAACTTCTTATCTACATAATTACCAATAGTTGTCTCTTGATGTTTTATTAACCTTTAAAAACTTTTATCAGTTTCTAAACACTCAGATATTTGAATAACATGACTCAGTTTTTTTTTTCATTATTTATTACTTGCATTGTCCTGTGGTGTTATTAAATTATAAATTTTTCTCTTTTTTTCATACAGGTAATTTTTGATTAATTAATAGTATCACTATCAACAACCTTAAGGCAATAAATAACATGGTGCGCAACGTTTTTAAAAAGGGCTTATTTTTAATTTTTTCAGGGTACTTTTTTTTATTGAATGTTTTTAAAAGGTGCTTAATTTTCCCTTTTCGAAAAAGGTTTTTTCTTTACCATGTAAATTTTTGCCTTGCATTATGCAATAGCGTGGTTTTCACATTGTTTTATTTAACGTTTTTACAATTCATTCAAACACAATGCATTTCGGCGTTCCATCTTTCCGTAGCGTATAAAAGTGCCAATCATTTTAAATTTTTGATGAAATACGAAATACTTTGGGGTCCGCATGCGCATACTGAGCTGGGTTCAGTGGTGCATTCTCATGTGTAACTCAGCTACTTTTTGCAAGATAATCTCAATTTCAGGCTTCATTTTCCACTCTCTGAAATTGAACCGAAAAATCTCTCGATCTTTTTATTTTGGCTAATATAATCAAGAAAAAAGTTCTTTGTCAGAAACTGTTTATTTTATCATGATATCATGTAAGGTCTTGTTAAGTTATTTTGCATTTTGTTAATGTATATAATGCTTAAAAAGTACTTATAAGGTGAAAGATTGAGCTATGCACCCTGAATAAAATAAACTTTGCACTTTGATTTTTGTGAACACGTGTAAAATCTACTAATTCTCTTGATATAAATTACAAGGATAATTATTTTTTAACTTTAATTGTTGATCCCAAAATTCAGTTTAGGCTCTGACGGCTTTCATGCTCAGTTAATTTTGTTTTATGTCTTCCACAGAGAAAATGCTGTTTAAAATAGATTTTTGTGACAAAATGGTCCAATTATCTTGACAGATTATATAATTTTATTATCTGTTAATGATTTTTTTTTGAAGTAAAATATTATATTAAGGTTTATGAATGGCATTCCAAAGTTCATGCAAAATTTGATTTGAATTTTATACCATTTGTTTTGTGAAATGTAGCCAACCGTAAAAGATATATTATAATTCAGGGTTATTAAACGTAGAGTTCTAATCAAGCCTTTATTCACTCACTACCATTAAGACTTTGCTCCTGTAATTTTTTGTTCTGATGAACATGATTGAGTGCCTGTTAAACATTTAGAGAAGGATCCAAAGTTAATGCTGGATTAGCATAAACTTTAAATTCTCTCCTAACAAGCCCACTACCACCGATACTTTGATCAACAAAACTGAATGCTGTTTCATTATAATTCTGTCACATTTATGAAACACTGACTTTGAATATTTTAACAAAAAATTTACATGTTACAGCAAATCCCCATTCACTATGTTTAATTAAAAACCTGTATTTTTTATTTATACTATTTGAGTGAATTTTTGGGCACTCTTTATGGTGCGTGCCATTTAGAAATTTTTCATGGAAAAGTAAGTATAAAATTTCCGAAATGATAGAATTTTGTTAGTAGATCGGCTAAAATTTAAATATATATATAAGTGTACATTTTAAGGTTGGTTTGTAAAAGTTCTTGTTTACATTATATCATGCACACATTAAGTTATGCTGATTGAAATATAACTCAGTCATTTTAAGATTTAAATATTAATAGTATGTACAAAACTAATTAATCTTTTTTTTCTCAAGTTGAAAGTTCAAGACTACCTAAAAAAAAATTTCAAGGAGTCCAGAGATTTTTGCCGCAAAGAGTTTTATTTCTAAAGATTTTATTTTTATGAGCATGATTTTCCATGTTATGAAGAAGAAAAATTTAGTCTTTTTTAGAAAAATTTCATAGTAAGATTTCTTATAAGGGTTAGTTTAGTATTATTCAAATAGTGGATGAAATAGTATTAAGGATTTAAACTATTTAAACGGGTAAAAAAAAAATCTACAAGTTTCATTGTGCATGCAAATGTACATGAATGAAAAAAAGAATATACTTTTTTTAGAAAAAATTTCTAGTTCTCATTATAAAAATCAAATTACATTTTTAATTTTCAGCCCCAGATAAAAACCAGAACAGAAAAGATTCTAAAAAAAGGAAAGCTCAAGACATGAACTCTGAAAGTAAAAAATCAAAAATGAAAGTGTCACAGGGAGTGTCACTGAAAGAAGATCCTGCTAAAATTGCACAGAAAGAGGCTACAGAAGAAAAAAGGTTGGCAATCATGGCCATGTCCAAGAAAGATAAGCACCTTTATCAAAAAATTATCTTTGGTCAAAAGAGAAAAAATAAGGAAGTAAGTACAGATTTGTTATGCTGCAATTCAGGGTTGTCACTCTTCTGATAAAACGAAATTCCCTAAAATTTCTAGAGAAAAAATTATTAATATACCTAATTTTGTATAAATTTGCACAAATTTAATTGTAATTTCTAAATTTAAATATATATTCCTTAAGATTATGAAGAGGAAATAGAGTGGTCAATTCATGAATTGGTTTTAAACAGGGTTGGCAAGATTTTGCCGCAGGTGGTAAATACCGGTAAAAACCGTCCTGGCAAAAACAGGTTTTTGCCAAGCAAATTGGCAAAAGCCTATATTTTCCAAGATGAGAGGACAAAAACACATTTTCGGTACAAAATTATTCCTAAAATTGAAATATATACTATAAATATAAATAATTACAGAAAAATTAACAAAATTATTATTAAATCATAATTAAATGATAATGTAATAATATATCATTTTAGTAGTTTAAAACATTATTGATTGGAAAATTTGTGATTATTCTCTTTTTTNTTAGAATGTTAAACTATTATAGCATAGTAAAATAACATGTAATTAGGAAATTTATTGTAATATCGGTACTAAATATTGATAGTAACTTAATTAAACACTTGAATTGATTGATTTAAAAAATTATTAACCGTTTTAAACAAACATTTAAGTTTTTTGCAAATTATAATTAGTTTACTTATCAGTGAATATATTATATTTGTTAATTTAACCCCTTAATGATTGGTTAATTTTCAAGAAAACGGTCATAAAAATGCCGATTTTTTTTTATTAATGCTGGCATCTAGTTTAAAATAAAATAAACTATTTACAATTACCTTAAAAATATCCTGGTACTGCTATTTAGTGTGTAAAATAAGAAAAAAATTGTTTTTCAGGCAAAAGAAATGAATTAGTTTTATTCTTATTGGCGCATTACTACTGAACACTCCAACACGGAAATATCACTGGAGCGAGAAATAGAGGGCAAAACCTCACCCCGTGGGATTAATATCAAAAATAAATAACAGCATAATTATTCATTTGAATTATATAAAATGGGAAAAAATAACACTTTTAACTTTAGTAAGCTGGTGACTAGTTTGGAAGAAAAAAAAATTTAATGCCTAGTAAATAAAGCAAATTAATGTTTTAAATTATCTGTAATCATTATTTATTGCTAATGCTTTAAGAACTTCTAGGAAGTTGCCCCTTGAAACACAATTTAGGGCAGTATAAATATTTTAATGTAATTTTTTTTTTTAAATAGGTAATTATTTAATGACTTTAAGGTTTGAGATGGCAACTTAACATCGACTAATGAAAGATTAGTTTCATTTGACTAAACGTAAATGAGCAATAATTGATTTAATTATATAGCTATATAGTTGATTTATTTAAGTAAAGATTTTTATTTTCTTCATCAATTTACTTTTACATCTTGAAATTTTTACGTTTATATTCACATATATGTTACTAGCTATAATTAAGTTAAAATTGTAAAATGCAATTTGCTTAACCAGTTGAACTGAATCTTTGGGTACATAATATAAAATTTCATTTATTTATTTTGCTTACATCTTAAATTTTTGCCTACTCTTAAGTGTTGGTTGACTCAGCCTTTTATACCTTCAGTGGGTCAATAAAATGAGTACTTTGAATGAGTAAGCATGCTTTGGTACTAAACACTAGAGGTTTCTGTTTAGTTTCCTAACTGTGTCATCTGTACCTGAACCCCAGAATCCAAGGTCAAGAAAATTGGTGTGGGCACAGTAGGCCAAGACCCACCATGGGCTGTTATCTATTTAATCTAAAAAATTACGTATTTCTGGTAAAATTTGTGATGATAAAATATTAAGATATTAAAGAATATAATTTTAAATGTGAACACCACATTAATAATCCTGAAATAGCCTACTGATAACCATGAAAATTTAAGAACACATTAACTCTCCTTACTTTTATTACATATGCTTATTTATATACTTTTCATGGAATTGAAAGTTTTCTGAAATAGTGTACACATCTATATTAATCTGTTTTTAAATAAAATGTTGTACTTTTAGGTATTGAAATTGAAAGAAAAGCGTCAAGAATATGAAAAGCAACAGAGACTACAGAAAAAACTTGCAAAGCATCTTTAAAATTGTTATTATTTCATGTATAATAAAAATGTATTATATTAATGCTGTTAAGACAAATTTTTTGTGTCATTATATGTAACTCTGGGAACAATAGTGGACTAATTCATGTTAAAATAAACTGAAAACGTTTTTACATTTGTCTTAGGTGTCCATTGTTGCTTTCAGATTTGAACTCAACCTGGAAAAACCCAGCCCAATTCTTTGAAAAAATCACTTATTAGTTAAACCATTTTTTCTACCAAAAGTGCGTAAATGCACCATTTTATTATTTTTTTTCTGACACTGCGATGTATATTTTTCTGCTATTTTAAAGGGTTCTGAAGAAATTTATATAAAATTAGTAAATTGAATAAAACACTTTCAGTTGTAAAATTTTTAAACTTAATTTTTTTAAAACTTGAATAATAATTGCCAAATTTGACTATTTTGAAATTGTATAATTATTTGTAAGATTTATCATATGTTTTTATTATGGATTAAAGTTGCAAGGTAATTTAGTTATATGTCAAAGAAAGTACCACATTTTATAAAATTTCTATGGTTGGCCTAAAAACAAATTTTACATGTTAATTAATAAATTAGGTAATACTAGTAAATAAATTAGGAATAATAAATAATCTGTGTTAATCTTTTTTAAAAATGTTCTTGTTTTTCTAGAAATTTATTAAAATTTGAGTGAGAAGAATAAAAACATTACAATAACTAAAATTGGCATTTTAATTGTAATTAGGCAAACGAAATTTGTGTCAGAAAAATATCTTATTTGTGCCATTTCTAGCTGTTTCCAAATAAACAGGTTCAGAGACTTAAATTAAATTATGTTGATATGAGCAACCTAGTAGGGAAAGGTAAGATGATCAAAATGTTTAAAACATTCTCAAAAATCGTAAAAAACATCTGAAAAATGTTTAAAACATATGCCTAAGGCTCAAGAGGGAGAAATAACCCTTTGCTTTTTCTGGAAAGTGAGTAGAGGAGCCACTTGGACTATTAAACAGAAAAGTTTGACAAACCCTGTTCAGGCTTGGCTTACACCATTTTAAATTGAATAGATTTTCCTTTCTTTCAAATATAATTTACCTTGTAACCATTCTTATGAACACAAAAAACTCTTTACCTAATATTTATTAATAAATTTCCTACTATAATAACCTTTTCCTAATATTATTAATAAAGCTTAATTTTCCTTTATAGCATTAACCTAATATAAGGTCAGTAATATCAATACTGGTTGAAAGCAAGCACCACAAATTTTATCTCTTAGAATTTTTATGTGCAATGCATTTTAATATAACATATTTGTACATTCAAATGATCTTTATAGTTCAATTTTTTTAAATGTTAATTTTTCGATATTAAAAAGTAGCAAGCATCTAAGGAAAATAAACAATCTTGATTTGATAATTGTATAAGAGGCATGCATGCAAACACACATACAAATATTCTGCTTTATTTATATCAAATATGATAATCGAATATAATTTATAAAAGAAAAAAGATTCAAACATAAATATTTAAAAAAAATATATGATTATTTTAAATGATTATCTCAAACTAAAAGATAAATGGAAAAGTTAATTTTCATATTCATATAAATTTGTGTAACAAACCTAGCTGATTTTTAGAGTATTTGGTCTAAAACTGACAATAAAATGGAAGATCAAAATGAAAATATTTGATCTTAAGAAAATTAAAGAATATAAAATGAATAAAGAAATTTTATTTATAAACAATAAATACAAAGTTAACTTTAAGACTTCATGGGCTCACCAGTACCATTTACTTTATGGCCACACTTTTCTAACTCTGACCTAAAACAAATAAAGAGAAATTATTAATTTTCAATTTCATTAACTAAAATAGTTACATGAAGAAATTAAATAATTCTTACGTCTAAAGTAGAAGAATTTAAAAAAAATTGAAAGAAAAAAAAACATTTTATTTTCTGTATACTATAAAGAAACACTTTTTTCATAAACATTAATTCTTTATCTACTTGTAAATACAAATTCTAAGTTTAGAAAGATTCAGTATCCTTATTTATGACAGTATTTGGTGTCTTCGAAGTTTAAGAGACAACCTGGAAAAAAATATAAAGAAAAAAAAGATATTTTAGAGTCTGACGTATTTGAGAGGTAAAACAAGAAGTCAATTCCAACATGCATATATTATATATAATTTAATTTATTGCAAAAATAATATGCAAGAGCATTTAGTGGTTTCAGTTTTCACAAACAAATATGACAAAAATAACCTAAATCAATGTTTTTTAAACAACTTAGTTTTTAAAACCTTAATTCTTATCAAATAGAAAACAGGAAACCTATTTAAATATGTTGTAAGATTCAAATAATCCATCAATTATGTTCTTTAATTATTTTATTAAAACAACAAAATAGTGATTACAAAAATATAGTTTTGAAGAGCTCTGTACTCCAAGTTCTTTTTTTAGTCTTGTTTAATTTAAACTGTTATTTCGATTGATGCTCAACTGTATAGATTAGAATGTTAAACTATTATAGCATAGTAAAATAACATGTAATTAGGAAATTTATTCTAATATCGGTACTAAATATTGATAGTAACTTAATTAAACCCTTGAATTGATTGATTTAAAAAATTATTAACCGATTTAAACAAACATTTAAGTTTTTTGTAAATTATAATTAGTTTACTTATCAGTGAATATATTATATTGATGATTTATTGAAAATATTTATGTACAAAGCAGTAGTGCAGAAAATTTTCTGTCCTTAATATTTGCTCAGAACAAAGTTTTTTCTTATTGAAATTTCTCAAAAGTGTTAACATTTTCCTTTAGTACAATAACTTTTAAAATATATGTGAGAAGTAAAATTTCCAGAACAAAAGAAATTTGTTTGATTTTACACAATTCTTGAATAAATGAGCATATGTTAAAAAATATTAGAAATCAAAATATATTGAAAGAGTAATAATTTATTGAATTAAAGGTCCCACTCATAAACTTAAGGAATTTAAACCAATACATACACAAATTGACATTTAATGTTTTTTAACAAGGTAGAATTTGTAAAATGATTCATTTTTTAACAATAAAAATTCTTGTAGGAATTTTTTACGACTGAAAATCTGCCTTCGCCTTCCTGAATTTCCCTCAAAACGCATGATTAGATATATTCTGCTAATCTGCATATAAGTATTAATAACAAACATTAAAAATGAAAAAAAATTTTTTACAAGGTTGAGATCAAACAATTATTGGTGACCACTTTAGTTTTCCTTAATCTAAAAAATTTGTCTAAATAGTGGCATTAAAATCAATATTTAGATTGATAATAATGAACAACTTATAGTTATTACGATACTTATAGTTATTTCCCACTCTTTTAACAAAGCTAAAATTAAGAACTTAAAAAATAAAGGACTTTCAAAAGAGTATGATTGTTTATCATCGAATATACGTATACCACCAGTAACAGTGCCAATTATTTATCTTTCTTAAAAAAGAAAATCAATTAATGAAAAAAATAATTTAATTATTAAGTAAGTACTGATATATAATTGTATTAATTAATAGGGCTCACCAAGGTAGGATCAGGAAACTTTTGCAAACCCAGGTCAAGTTTTTTTTAAATATTTTCATTAGGGCTAACGGCAACTATGAAACTAATCTGCATTCTATTTTTAATGATTTCATTGAAATTGAACTGTAAAATTACATGCAAAAATAAAGTTTTGCAATTCTTTTCCATATATTTTAAAAAAAAGGAAGAAATAAAGAAATTTGGGAAAAACATCGATTAATTACATGCTTTTATGTTTCGCTACTGGGCGAAAATAGCTCCCCCCCCCTATATATATAATAATAGTATATAATAATAATAATAAAATATATTTTAACTTGCAGACACAAATTTCATTTCCTATAGAAAATAACTAAATTTAAGTTATAAGTTTAAAGAAGTACAAATAAAAAGTAGCTAAATGTTAAAAAAATTGTATTCAAATCAGAATTTTTTCAATACACTGAAGTTATTTGAGACATGAATTTAATCGTAAGTTAAATCTTGATTTAAATCGGCAAACCCTGCTTAGTCTTAACAGAAAGTTTTAACAAATTTTTAATTCAAAGGTCAAGGCACATTAAAATAGCGAAAGCTGACTATGACAATATACTATTGTTTGTCTAGGGATATATTTCCATATCGTGATATGTTGTGCAACTACAATCGTCAAATAGAAACTTGGCTTTTTTAAAAATAAAAACATGCCGAGGTGTACCAGTGAAAAGACTATAAGTTAGCATTTCCAGTTGGCCCCTCTCTGTGATGTCTTTTTTTAGTTTCTTGCAGGAGACTGGCGCGGAAGTTGCTAAGAATTAGCGACTATTCTGCCGCAAAATCACGATACAAATATCTTTCCTAAAGTTTCTTCTTTTAAAGTTATTGCTGGCTCTTGAAAAATAGAAACAGTAATTTAATAACTTAAAATATTAATTAGAGATAATACCAAAGAGGTATGTTTTCCAAAATGAATAAAATATTACTTTAATTGATTGCTGAACTCATCTTCAACATTGTCATCATCCCAGTTATCTTCCCAGACATTAATATCTTGTTCATCTTCTTCTTTTGCTGTCCAATCTATAATTTAAACACCATGGTATCAAACATTTTGAGTAATAAATAAGGTGATACAATTCTTGTAAACAATTACACGTGCGACTAAATAAGCAATCTGAAATACAAACTAAGAAAAATAGTACAGCTTATTTTAATTTGAAAGTTAATACCTTCGGTTGGGAATTCTTCAAATTCGTCATCTTCTTCTAACAAACCAAGATCAATTTTTTTTGGTGCTTCAGTCATTTCACTAGGTGGCTTAACAACCATGACCATAGAAAAAACCAAATTTTAAATTCAGCTTTTTTTGCCGAATTAGTAATAAAACAGAAATGAGAAAATCTTAATGTAATTAAATAACAACTTGAATCAAATTCTTTATGAAATCCACACAGTAAACAAAACAATGAACATGAATATTCACTAAGAGTGAAGAAAGTTACAGTTAAAAAGATTAATACCTTAAAAAAATAAATTAATGAATATTATCTTAAATAACTACTTTAACTTCTACTTATATATACTACATTACAATCACATGGGTTCATGTCTAAGGGAAAAAAATTCTAATTCAGCNTTTTTTTTTTACATTTACATTCGCGATTGCAACGCTCGAATGCGCCCTCTGTCGAGAAGACCGGTTTCATGGCTTCCCTCTCTTCCTCTTTTCAGTTGTATAGGAATGCACTACGATATTTTCCCCTTTCTTGGTATTTTTCGTATTTAATATTCACAAATGTTATTTTAAAATTTCCATGGCGCTTTCTTTCGAAACTTTGTTCAATGTAGTTTTCAGTTTCATATAGTTTCCTAATTTAAAAGTTTTTAAGCAATTTGAAAATCAAGACAAAAAACTTGTGTACTTCCTTCTCCTATGGCTCTTGTCATAGGTGCCCTGCTCTACGCTACCTGCAGTTCATTTCGATCGCTATTTATGAGTCTTTTTCGGGAGAAAGGAAATGTTTAACAATTTTTTCGTTATTCAAATGGTTGTAATAATATTCGAATCTTTACTTAAAAAAGAAAATAACAACTCCGTATATAATTATTTATTATGTTCATTAATTCCTTATCATCTAATGTATGATTTAAATTATCCATAGAACTGCAAGAACTGCCCAAATTCCCAAAACATATCATGCGAATGTCTTAAGGCTGGGTATGCTGCCACTTCAGGTGATCCGTTATAGCTCCGAAGCACTAGAGCTGGCTGCTCCATGGACACGACAGCAAGAATATCTAGTGTGTGTATTTTTTTATATCCAGTATAATAATCAAATTACAGTTCTATGCAAAAAAATAAATAAAATAACGATAACTTTTCTGTTACGATTTTTAAATAGATATTAAATAATGTAAAAAAATTTGTTTCTTTAAACATGAATGAATTAACAGAAAAAATTCTGACTTCAAATTTATGTCTTTTAATTAAAAATAATTCTGTTTACTAATTTTGATAATAGTGAGAAAGTCCTGATCGTTTCTAGATCTGTATTTTTAGTAAAAAATTTATTTTTTCATAAATGTATTTTAATAAAAAAATTGTTTGAGAGTTACATTCGCAGGCACTAATTATAAATTATCTTATTCCATTTTCTATCATTATTTATTTATTTTATTTTTTTTATTTATTTTAATGTATCTAGCCACCAGTTCTTATAAAATATCTTATCAGAACTTTAGAAAAAAATATGAAAAATTAATTTGTTTATCTATTTATAAAATGGATAAGAGCAAGGTTTTTTATAATTCCATTTATTTAATTATTAACTCTTCTTTGCATGATGATGGAAATTACCATCACAACACTTGGTGAACAAAAAATTGTATACAAAACAGGTTTACTGTAAATTGGTTGTTGCTAGCAACTTTTTTCACGATTGTTGCGTAATAAGCAACATAACTGTAAAAAGAAAATATCGACTGTCATAATCATAGCAGTAGGTTTTAACATGGCAGGTTGGAAGAAACATGCGATTTATTAAAAGATTTAAAAAAAAAAAATTTTTTTTAACTCAAATAAATATAACTCGAATACCTCAAATAAACTACCTAAAAACATTTGTGTCAAAAATTTACATCACTATATACAGTTGTTTCACTTCGAATGTATGACGATAACGTTTTTTACTGTACATGTTTATTTTATGTTATCTTTTTAAAGAAATTTAAAAGAGAGGGACTTTGAAGATTACTTGGATCAGTTAGAAGGAATTTGGATATTAGAAGGTGACTTTGTTGATGTCAAAAATTCAGACGACTAGTACCGCGATGCAGATGAAATTATAAGAGTGTGGCAGAAAGAGAATAATAATTGTTTTTTTTTTAATTATCTTCAGGAATAAAAATTATACAAAGATACACTATTTTTTTAACTTTCTTGTACTGTGTGTAGATGTAAATTTGGTAAAGATGTAAGATGTGTACAGATGTAAATCTGGTAAAAAATGGTATGATGGATATTTCCATCATGCCATTTTTTAATTATTTTATATTTTTTTAATCTATTTTCCTTTAATCTAGAGCATGAATTATGTCATCCTGATACATTTTACGAAAAAAAAGGAAAAAATGCATGCAAGGAAGGGTCAAAATTGAATAAAATGAGAAATTTTTCTCACAAATTAATAATTGCTGGTTACTGCGACAAAATTTTTATTTTAATTACTTAATGTTATTAATAAAATCTCTAACAAGAAATTTTTCTAGCATGCATTATAATTTGTCATTTTATTATCGATTGATATTATAATAAATAAATAAAATAAAATAATAACATGAAAATAAAATTTTGGCATGGTGTGACCGTGACTCTTGGTACATTTTCTAACAATGGGAGACAAAAAGAAATTTGCAAATAAATTTTTTATTATTTAATTCGAGTAACTTAGTACGCTAGGTATGTAAACTCCCTGTTTAACGAGAATCCTCGACCTGAAAAATTTGATAAAGATTTTAAAAAATCATTATTCAAATTTGTTTTTGTTTTTTATTTCCCCTTCATGGCCAAATCACTTGATCTTCAAAGGATTTACCATAAATTTATGAACCAATTAGGAGAAAAGAATAACAAATGAGTAATTTTCAAAAGTTAATGTTATTGAAAAAAAATGGAGAAATAAAACAAAACTAAATTTTAAGTAAAATAAGTGGAAGCACATACAGGAATTTCGTCTGGGTACATTTATATCAATTAATTAACGAATGGGACGTCAATGAAAACTATGCTCCTCTTTTTTAGGTAAAAAGAACTTAAAAATGTAAATATTGTAATTCTTAGTTCCTCTCTAACATTTACCACAAGACCACAAGAGTAAGATTTTGTTTCCATTGAAATTGCACTTTGTATACGCTGCTCATGCAAAATATTAAGCAAATATTATTTTTGGATTTGTAATATATATATATATTGCGGATTTTCTGATGCGTTTTAAGTATTAGTTTATATTTTTCATAACTTGTACTATGTTTTTTTTTTATTATTATTATCATGTTTCTGTGTCTCTGTATGCATAATATGTATTTGCAAGTTTAATTCTGAAAATGTGGAACTAAAAGTGTGATTGTGTCTCGAATTTTCAATATTATTATTTAATTATTAAATTGAGGAATTTCTTAACGTGATAACGAACAGTTAAGAAATTAGAAATTATTTTTTTTATTCAGAAGACGTAACCTATTATAATTTGTAGAATTCAAAAATATTTTCAACTTTTTATATAAAAATGTGATGACAACTTTAATCAGTTCAGGAATGGTTTAAAAATTAATTTTACAAATTTATTCGCAGAATCTATTGTTTTTCCTTTGACATAAATATTTCTCATAAAAATTATTCTTTAAATTGTTTGATAAAGTTATACATTCGAATGCCTTTTTTTTTCTTTTTTTTTTAAGAAATAGTTTTTTGATAAAAAATATAGCTTAATTTGGAAGATCACAAAGGATGAAGTTAAATAAATTTACACCAAGAAGCTTACACTTTCTTTTCAATGAAATGTTTTAGACTATAGAGTCTTGTTTACAAGTTTGTTATACACTTCGAATTCCAGGCTAAGTTAATTAATCTGAAAATTCGCTTAAGATCCTATAACATAATCATTATGGAACAAGTATACAGAATAAGTTCATTTTTTTACCGGTACCAAATAGTTTTTAAGTCAGTGCATAACTTTCACATGCGACATAAGGATGGTTAACTGAATGTAAATAATAACCGGAAGAAATTAAGAAAACTTCCGGTGTATCTATCAGTTTATGTTATGCTTACGAGGCGATATGCAAACAGACTTAATATTCAAGGAAGTTTTATTATTGTGGTTTGTATTAAAATTTGCACGTAAATTTACCATTCTTAAGAATTTTCTGCAATTTATAAATAACAAGTGGTGAGCTGAAAACAAATTTTACGAAATTAATATTACACCATAAATAAAGCGTAAGGTTAGCTAAGTTTTGAGCCTTATCCCGTATTTGTCTCTATTTTGTGTAAAATAGCAGCGTTTGTTACTTTCTTGGGAAGCATTATAGCAAGCTTGCGGACTCTTCCGAGTTTATTTGTTGTTTGCTTCGTTGAAAATTAGATTAAAGAACGCATTATATTGAAAATACTACAAGCATGATAATATTTGATTGTGCGCTTTGTCAAGCTTAGGCATAAAAATCAGTCGAAAGTGGTAACCCGGAAGTCTTACGACAAATTCTAACCATTTAGCGTCATCTGCGCTTAACTTTACACAGTAAACCATCCATTACATACAGCTATTATGTGAAAATTTGATGTGCAACGGGATGATGTGAAAATTTGATGTGCAATAGGGTGTCACGTGATCAGTATGTATTTTTTAATTCTTGTCAAAAAATTATTTAAAAAAAAATAGCACAACACATTAGGGGTCACAAATTAATATTGATGTGAGAAATAAATAAAATGGTTATTGGAATTTAGCAACTCACTAGTCAAGAAAGCGAAATTGGAAACAGTTTGATTTCTTGAGGACAATTGGGGAGCTTTCAATAAGAATTTTTCGAGCCCTTGTGTCATTGGGCAATTTAACAGATTTATAAGTTTTCCATCCCTCCTTCCTCGGCTGTGACTTGGGAGACTTCCAAAGCGTTTCCACCTATTTCAAACTTGAACCAGTATATTTTTGGTAAAATTAATTATTTTGTATTCAACTTACACAAATATACAGAGTACAAATTGTCAAATTATTTAATACATCAAATATAGTGTGAAGGACTTGTCGATTCTGCTGTTTTCTGGAGTTTTCAAAAAAGATACCTATTAATAGGGTACTTTCAACTCGGAAAGAAGTGAATGGACTATACCTAACTACGTGATATAAATCAGATTTAATTGAATACTTGTAAGCGACACCACGAGCTTCTAAATCGACAAATGCCACGATTTAATTACACTGACGTACTTGCAATTATCCAATGAACTGTAGTGCACAGACAATTTTTCATATGTTAGTTTTAAAGTTAAATGCTATCGAAAAATATGAAGTACATAGGCATATACTTACCGAACGTATAATTGAATTTATATAAACATTGAAGTTTGTTTT